AATTAACGCCCAAGATAAAGAGGACTTCTCTGATCCGCGCCATTTTTGCGCCAGGGTTGGTCTTGCGCGGATAACAGGATACATATGTAGGCAGCGCCCGCCTCCCCCCCCCCCCCCCCCCCCCCGGGTCTTGTAATTACATGTACGGCAGCAAGCTAATGGGGGCAGTGAGCGAGATATACTGTCTGCCCGGCCGGAAGAAGGACACTTTTGTCCAAAGGGTTCATCGTATCCTCAGCAGCCTCCGGAACTGGGATGCCACGCTCCCAGAACATCTGGCATTTCGCTGGGACGATTCGAACCGTCATGTTGCCAGCCTCCACCTCTGCTACAACCAGTGCATCATCCACACCACCCGGCCAATCCTCCTCCATCTATTCCGGACCCAGTTCCATTTGAGCGGCCCCCGCATCCAGGAGGAGCAGCAGCAGCAGCAGCCATCGACCTTCTCGCCCACGACTACAGCACTAGCCGATAGCTGCGTCAATGCCGCCCGCACATCCAACAAGATCCTGTCCAAGCTCTTCGTCGATGGCACACTGGCCACACTCGGATATTGGGATGCACACTATCTCTTCTCGTCCACCATGATCCTAATCATGTCGGCGGTCATGGACCCTAACGTTGCCGTCTCCGACCCCGTGCAGACGGCGTTCAACTTGCTGCGCTCCATGCGGGACGACGGCAACATCCCGGCCAGCGACTACTGCGATCGCCTTGCCTTCATCCAGACGAGCCTCTCAGAGTTGGGGGAGGGGGCCAGAAGAAGAGATGCTACAGATGAGGGTCCCGCTGCCAAGAGCCCGACAGCCGCTCATGCCGGCGGCCAGGAGGGGCAGGCAACTGGGCATGATTGGGGGTTTGAGAACAGCTGCCCGGGTGGATTCGAGAGTCGGAAGTTGGATGATGATTTTGACGCGCTGGCTAACCCCTACATCGACGACTTTCTAGCAGAAAAGAGCTTTGCCTGGTCGTCTACCTCCTTCCCGGATGGCAGCACTTTGCAGCAACTTGCCAACGAGCTCGGAGACAGCTTTAATTTTCCGGAGCTTAACTAATTTGAAAAACGGGTAACTGTACGAGGAGAGGTAGAAGACTATCCACATCGTGCTCCCTTGGTCAGATTGTGCCATCATTGTTAAGTCGGCATTGTGAAATCGGTAGGTCCAATTGACGTGTGACATTGACCGCGGCATATCCATCTATGACTAATTATTACAGAGGCTCCTGTAGAGACAGGTCGATGATAGCCCCCATTGGGTTGAACTCTCCCGCGACCTCGGGAAGGGTGACTAGGACGCCAGTTGAGACAGCCGGGCGAGAACCGAGATTACTGGGTATCAGCAAGCTGTTGGGGGTCGTCCCCCGCTCACCCCGGATTTTGAGGGCCCGTCTCCCTGTCAGTTAGGCGTCTGGACAATCGATTGGCATGTGCTAATCTGCGGGGATGGTTGATACCCCGTGTGCGGCTGCGGCAGTGAGCAGCCTAGGGCGATGCAGTGTACTCCGTACGGATTACGATGTCCAGCGTGTCTCTCGGTTCCCCGAAGGAAGAGCCGAGCGGGGATCATCGGCAAACTAGTGCTGGGGCCGAGTGGCGATTGATCGGCAACACAGAGCTAATACCGAGCGGGGTCGGGCAAGATAGAACTGGGCCGGGCTCATTGCAGACGACGGCCACGCAATACCGGCGCTCATGTGTTGAATCGGCATCTAGAACGTTGTAATGGCATCAAATTATTGCGCCCCCTTTTCCGTTATTCCCCCCCCCCCCCCCCTTTTCGCCCTTCCCCCCTTTCCCCCACCCCTCCTTTTTAATGAGAGTTCTCCATATTAACCAGTAATTAATTATTGGTCGGAGTTAGCGGGATCACCAACAGCTCTGGCACGCGACCCAATGGTTAGTGATTGAGGTCAATTGCGACAGTGATGAGACGAAACAAGTCTGTGACAGGGAATACAGTATCGCCACGGCAATTTATATACTAATTACACCGGTGGTACGAGAGAGTCCTAACGTCCAGTAAGCTTCGTGATTGCCTCAGCACATTCCTTTCCCGCTCTAGCCAGAATCCCAGAATCCTGCTGTACCAAGACGAATCCAGCCCCCAGCTTGTTTAACGCCCAGTCATGTAACTCGGCATTCTCGTAAATCCCAGCCAGACCAAATATCTTACCGTGCTTCTTGCACGCCTGGCTCACGGCCTCCACAGCCGACCGGAACTCGTCACTCGTGAACTGGGCCGGGACGCCCAACTCGGTTGCCAGATCGTTCGAGCCGATCAGGAGGACGTCGACCCCTTCCACCGAGGCGATTTCGTCTGCGTTCTTGATGCTTTCGCGCGTCTCCATCATGACGAACACCGACGATGCCTTAGCGTTGTTCTCCCCGACGAAAACCTCGGCCGGCGTCGGCTTGAGAGAGAAGTATGGAAGTTGTCCCGTCATCGACCTCTTGCCAGCCGGGGGGTATTTGGAGATGGAGACGGCAGCGATGGCATCCTCTAGAGCCAGGGAATTGGTTAATTAATTCCAGTCATCGGTAGGGGGTTGGGATGTCGGGCAAACCTCTGTCATGAATATGGGGGAAAACAACACCCATGGCCCCCCCGTCCAGGACGCGTTGCACGAAGCCGTCGCCGCACTGGTATGGGACCCGAACGAAGGGCGTAATCCCTGCATACAGGCCAGCCATGCTCAGTTGGCTGGCATCGTTGACGGACAGTGTCGAATGCTCCAGGTCGATAAAGAGTGCGTCGAACCCGCCATTGGCTGCCAGCTGGACCACCTGCGGATTGGTGACCAGCCGAATGCCAAAGGCCTAAATTCCTAGTCAGTAGATGTCAAACAGATCACTAGGACATCAGACCGGGGCGACGTGCTTTACAGATCTGGCCCTTGCCGGTTTTCTCCAGCAAATTATTGGTGAAATTAGATCCCATGGTGTCGTTCAAGTTAGCACGTAAGCTCGCAGGCTGCACGAGAGAAATGTCGAGATTCACGAGTTTTATCGGACAATGCGAACCGTTATTGACTGTCCATTTAACTGAGGGTTTGGCTAGCGGGAATCATCCTCTCAACACCGGGCTGTGCCAGCCGCAGCCGTAGTGCCTCCATGTATGCACAACTCGGCTTCAACTCTGCGGTGCCGGTGTGGGCCGTATTCTAGTCTAGCGGTCCGCCAAAAACCTGCTTCTGTGACTGCACTATTAGTTCCCTTGAATGACTGGGGTCTAGATTGTCGGACCTGTATGCCGGAAACTGTCTGGTATACCAGGAAAAACGCACGCAATCAAGATTCCAGGTAGTGGGTATTTAGGGACCGCATTGTAAATTTATTCCGGGCTCGAGGTCTGAGGAAACCAAATCCAATTAACGCCCACCCTCTGTTCCGGGCCTGCTCTCGACTAGAAGATGTTTGAACAGGTTCCCCCAGGTCCTGTGGATCCCTTCTTCCACCTCAAGAAGAAGGCCGACCAAGATAACCACCCAGATAAGGTAGACATCGGGGTAGGGATCTACCGAAGCGAGCAGGGAGCGTGCCAGGAACTAGCTGTGGTGAAAAAGGCAAGTCCGTCTTGAGACCGAGGCGACGAGCCAATTTGCTAACTGTACGCCAGGCAAAGAGAATACTAGACGAGCTTGACTTGGGACATGATGTAGGCACCCGGCAATAGCGCACGATCACCGAGACATCATTAACGAAAGCTTAGTATGGGCCGACCACAGGGGATGACCGGTTCTTGAACCTTGCCGCTGAGGTTATGTTTGGCCAGGCCAGCGAACCTGTGACCTCAAGACGTGTGAGTGACACACTCGACGTTCCCAGGATTGCAAAAATAGGTACAAATTAACTTTTGGACCTAGGTCGCATCCGTCCAAACACTGTCTGGTTCGGGTGCCAACCACCTTGCGGCTGTCCTAATAGCGAAATCCTTCGAGCTGAAGCCCGAGATACACATTGGCATGCCGACCTGGAGCAACACGAGGCCTCTCTTTGAATACGTCGGTTTAAAGACAGTTGACTACCCCTACGTGGACCCTCAATCATCCGAGATCGACTTTGAGTCTTGTTTGAGCGCCATCCGAAATGCACCGCGAGGTAGCGTCTTCCCTCTGCAGGGCTGTTGCCACAACCCGACCGGCAAGGACCTCACGCCCCAGGAGTGGCAGCTCCTTGGAGAGGAGATGAAGGCAAGGGGCCACTTACCCTTCATTGACATAGCCTACCAGGGCCTTGGCGACGGGTTGGACGAAGATGCTGCTGGAGTTCGGATACTCTCTCACATGGGCATCGACATGATTGTCTGCCAATCCTTCTCCAAAAACTTCGGCCTGTACGGCGAGCGTTGCGGAGTTCTCCATGTTGTTACCCAATCGGAAACAGTCGCAGCCAACGTAAAAGACCAGTTGAGGAGCTTGATCCGGCGCGAATACTCGTCGTCACCAGCATATGGCTCTCGTCTAGTCACAATCGTGCTGGATGATCCTGAGCTGCGCGCACAGTGGTAAGCGGCAAGGACGCTCCCGAATGGTCGGTACTCAAATCATGAAACATGTCACTAACAAGTGTGGCTATTGAAGGATCCAGGAACTTTCATCCATGAGAGCTAGGCTGCAAGAGAACAGGACTCGACTTTACAACCAACTGACAATCATGCTTAAAGTATGTCATCCCTCTTGCCGAGACAACAGCACTCCACGAGCTAACAGCTTCTCCCAGACCCCGGGCGATTGGAAGCATATTGTCGAGGAAAAGGGACTCTTTTCGTAAGTTGTGTCACCGTCTCCGAACTCAGCGGGTTGCGGCGTTAACTCAGTTGATTAGGTGCCTTGCCATCAATCCCGCGCAGTGCAATGCCTTGATCGACCAACATCACGTCCATCTACCCGCAAACGGCCGCATCAATGTGGCCGGCCTGAATACCAATAATGTAGAGCGAACAGCCCGGGCACTCGATCAAGTGGTTCGAGAACAGCTATCCTGAGTACTAGCCCAGCTTCCAGCACAGTTGTTACTATACCCACTACAGCCCATACGGACGGAGCATGGAGGCAACGACGAACAAGTCTCGCGAGGTGGCGTTGGAGAGTGGGGTTATTTGAGGAGCTGGCGTCTAGCAATTTAGGCTCGGTGATGCGGGGGAATTGCCTGCTAGTAATTAATTATTGCACATGTTCGTCCAGTATCGTGGCGCAATTGAACGACGCCCCAATGGGAGGCAAGGTGATGCGCGTGACGAGGCCGGCAACAGTTCAGGTCCACCACGGCAAGCGCCTCGCATGGCTGTGTGGCAGGTAGCCTTATGGGCATCATCCCAGGCCTTCTGTAGTAGCACCAGACCCTTCATCGGTCCCGGCTCCGACAATGTGTCGACTTTGTAGCTCAGCAGCGCCTCTTTGCTGACCCTCTCGCAACCCGGCGGCGGACAGTCAGAGATGGTGACGCTGGTCCGCTGAGACAAGGGAGAACCTGGTGATTGCCGCTCGTTAGGGTGGCCGGGGATAAGGACACTAGGGCTCTCCCTCGAACTGCACAAACTGCATGAAGGTGCCAGAGCCATCCTCAGTAGACAGGTGGGGCTTGTACGAGGAAGATGGGGAATGGGGGAAAGGGGTAAAGAGGGACAGGGGGGGGAAAGGACGATAACATACATCGCTCTAGTCGAGTCTATTACCCAAACTCTTGCCGTCAACAGCAGCACATTTCAGTTATTCAAGTTCCCAAGAGCCAAGGTTGGCTACTGTGAATGAATATAGCAAGTTGAGTTACTATAAAACATGAATTGTCTACAGACGAATCAGACCACGGTTCCGTCGAAACAAACGGTCCTTGCAAACAGCCCTCCAGTCACGACCGCCATCATCAAGTCCCCTTATTATTGCTTCAAGCGTCGCACTTCTGCCATTGAAGGAAGTGAATTTGGGTAAACTTTAGATCGGTGGAGTCGACCTGGGACAATCGTCAGCTAGGTATCATGGTTCTTGACTTCATGGGAGGGCACTTACTGTGAGGAGGGCATTCTGCGTCGCATCCGGAGGGGAGAGTCTGACTTCGGAATTGATGTTGAGGAGACCTTCCTTGCCGCACGGCGACCATACAGTGGTTTGGACGTCTAGTTGATCCGTCTTGAGATAGTTGTCGTCGTAGGGCCCCTTGATCACCGTGGTTGTAGACGTCTTTCCATCGACTTGTCAGTACGTTTGCTTACGCCGAGGATGTAGGAATGTCTGCCAACGTTTGGAGAACGAGGCATGGGAATATCTCACCTGCTTCGAGTCTCCAGAGAAGTAGTAAGTGGACTTGACCGTGCCCGTGTCGCCCTCGGGAACCTGCGCGTAGCCGCGGTAGTCGGACTTGAAGACAGAGAACTGCCAGCCCTGCGGATACTGGAGCTTGACATTCAGCTGGCAGTTCTTCCGGTACTCGGACGCCTGGATCCCTGGGCCGGCTTGTGCGACGAAGCTGTCGTACAGAAGAGTGATGGTGGTCAGGTCCGTGGCGAGCTGTCCAGCCACGGAGCCGGCGGGACATCCCGAGCCAGCATAGGCTACTCCGGTGATGCTAACGTCATGTCCGGTGGGCTCATCGCTGAAGTAGTTCGGGTCGATCACACCTGCCGAGGCGATGCCAAAGCAGGCGAGCCGAACAAGAGAGGACGAGATATGCATTGCTGCGAATAGGCGGTTGATGGTTGAGGAATGGGAATAGGAGCAGTTGATCGAAACCCGGAGTGATTGTTCGTTGATCTGGAGATCCCCGCGTGTTCTTATAACCTGCTCTCCTTTCCCCGGATCGCCACCCTGGATCGCCAGCCAAGAGCATCCAGACCCCGCGTCTTAAGTCCCATAGTATCAGAATCACGATATCTTAGCCTGGGAATATTGAAGTCGTACCAGTAAATCACATTCAATGTTCCGGGATTCTTCCAAAATGAAAATGAATATGTGAGAATTAGCTGCGCCGTAAATGCCTTTGGGTCAATCCTGATGTTGACTCTGTCGACCACCTCCCCCTCGCGTGAACGACTTCTATTTTTGGTCGAGCAGTATATAAATATAGACCAAAGGGTGGCCAAGATTGGGAACAATATGCATGTCATCGCCAACTGCTCGGTAAGGACCCTCCTAATTGTCCGGTAATGTGGCGTTTTGATTTAGGATGGATGGTTCGGGCACCAGGCACGAACTGTTAATATCGACAGCTTATAAGAATTTTTCCGAGACCAGCTAAGGGGAGTTAAGCGAGGAGTTCGTCATGCACCGATCTTCTGCAATCTACATAGAAGAGAGATCTTATAGTTTGTGTTACCGAGGATGCGGCGGCGCCAGAATAGGCTAAAGCACTTTCTCAAAACCGAGCTCCATTTGGTAAGCCTCGGGCATCGTTGGTAATGCCTCGAGTTTTGTAGTATAATTAATGTCTGATATATCTATCTGTCTCGGTTCACAGGTGAGGCTTGGCGGTCACCTGATATTACCACCGAGCAAGATGCTATTATAGCGATCCTGATGTCCTTCCGAGAGCCAGATATGGATTCGGACCCCTCTCGATTGCCCCTTAATCGGCTAACACGGGCTCCCAGGAACGAACCTTTGACCCGGCCTGGTAAATCCTGGCAAGTCATCGTCTCATAACGACCATCACGACACCGGGCTGCAACGTGGTGTGGCTGCGGTCATCCCGAGCCGCGCAAACCACTTACTTACTTACTTAGCCCGGAGATCGAGCATAATAGGGCACATTAAGCACTGTCTAGGCAGCCAGCCGCCCGGCCCTCTCTGTCATGTGTCCTTTGGGGCAAGTCCTGCCTGTTGGCTGCTATTTTGATGGAACCTTCCTTTGGCTAAGCCATTAGTAACGGCCATTATACCAGCCATGATACTGACCATGGTTTGTTACATCACACTAGCACGTCCAACAATCTCTTCCCTTAACGGCCCAATCAATCCGATATGTTTTGAACCCCTCGATCTTCTTCATCGTAACGTAATCTGCGCTCTCCTTTGCAAAGCATCCGTCTTGGTCATGATTGCTGGAAAGGTGTTGGCTGTCATGGACTGGAGAAGGATCATGGGTCAACAGGGGAGAGGGGTAGGGGGATCGATCCTTCGAAGTTGGATTGCGCACATCATTATATACTGGACTAAGAGTGTATTCCTCCACGTACGACCATACCCAGTGGAGAACTCGGGATCCCGTCCGCTCTCCCATAGATAAGCCACTGAGGGCCGGATCAGTAGTTGGGTCGGTGACGACCAGCGAATCCCCGGTGTTGTACGTTTTTTTTTTTTCTTTCCCGTCTCGACAATTGTGGGGCAGGAGGAGACTTCAATTACACCTTTATAACCACTTATATTATTGATACCCTTTACTATCCTTCATTAATGTAGTACAATTCTAGGACTGGTGTTGGCGCATTACAGACAGCCCTATGACCATGCACTGGGTTCTCTCGTGCCGATCATGCTCTGAAGCCGTCCAGCAGCAGACGTTGTGCCTTCTTGCTTGCGCTTTTCGTGTGCGCCTTACGGAGTACAGAGGCAGTATTTCGGTGGCGTCATCAACGATGCCTCCCGGCTCCAAACATTGCAAGGCTACGCACTAGTTGGCCAGCTCGTCAAGGCTCCTGTGATCTGCGTAAAATCCCGGTCATTGGAGTTGCAATTACTGCGAGACTAGAAGGCCTCAGTACCTCTATGGCTCAGGTTGTTGATCCTCGACCAGGACTTCCCGAGATGATCGTGCTCTCCCCAATGACGAGGTCTAAAACCAAGATCAAGTAGGACAGGGCCATTCGTCTTCTTGGTTGTTTGTACAAGTACTTGTACATAGGTCCAGCGAGGGAATCGCGACTTGGCACCTCAAGTGTCGTACGGAGGGCAGAGAGCTGATTAAATGCAATAAACACAAATAGACATGGTTCTTCCCCCATTCTTCCCCCATTAAAACTCACCATCAACTCAACCTTCAGCATTAACCTCTCCTCACTCAAACACTCACCCGCCTATTCCGACAATCACTCCACTTCCTTTGGTTCAGGGCCGCCAAATGAAGCCTGTAGCTACACCAGGAGAGAAAACCGATTGCCAAGGCTTGTCCGCCGTTTAGGGCTAGAGGGACAGGGTGATACTCACCAATGCCACGAACACGAGCCAAACCCTCGGGGCCTCACGCATCTAATGTGGGGTCGAGGCTGACCTGCAGGCAGTAAGAGGGTCTGAGCAGAGTGCATGGGCGGTTACTTTGGTTTAAGGCTGGGGCGGGGACCGGGGAAAGGAGCCGTTTTGCGGTGGGCTAATGATGTGCTTCACAGACCGAGGCTAGAATGATACGCTCACACACTAATCACCCCCCTCCCCTAACATTCCGGGGAAACAGGGATTATTTGCTAGTGTCCCGGGTGCGGACTCCTATTGTCGAATAATAGCACGCTAATCACGGAAAGTTCTGGGGACCGGGGCAGGCTTCCAGAGGGAGTTGGTGCTCAGTCTCAGTGGTCCCGCTCCAAACATGGCGACGGGCCATGTGCTGATGGAACCCTCAGCGTGTTTGCACAGATTGCTGCGACGCTTGACGTCCGAGAATGTTCATACACCACTTCTCGCCATTGATCTGTGACTTGCTCGAGCAGAGTTTTGACATAACAAAATAGGTAGGGGTTTCCCAATGTGTTTTCATCAACTGGATGGATCGGAGACGGGTTGTCCCGAACTGACGATCTCAGCTTCGGCAAAGCATAGCCCATTATACAATCCACCATCGTACGACAAAAGAATGAAAGCATGTGGCGTCATTAGCGTCATACCCTCCTCCGCTACCAAGGTGCTTTTGCGGTCATCCTGTCTGTGCGTGCACGAGACTAGTCAGCAAGAGGTTGTAGTTTCTGGAGACCATCAGCTCTGCTGGGGAAGACTGGGAGCGATTGGCCTATTTCCCTCAGCGGGGAACCGGGTCGGATCTGGCGATTTCCCCATATTAACCTTCGATCTGCACGCGGATGATGCATGTTTTTCAGGGTCTTTGATTGCCCAATCCCATCCCCAGGCCACCGGAGCTCAAACACACAAGTCGTCAAACCAATCATGTGGAACGAGCTGACAGGGATAAGCGCACAGAACATGCCTACGCAGTAAAGTCTTCTCTTAGTGGACTCAAATTCCCCACATATCATGAGGAAGACTTGCGTCCGACTTGTGGAGATTCGCTATACCATACCAGGAAGGGGATAATGCCCCAGCCAAAACGCCCTGAAGCGCATCCTAAATCTGGTAAACCACAGAGCACGGACTACCAACACGAAGACACTAGATCTGCGTACTGCCGCCGGCAACAGAAAAAGGGACAATGAAAGCTAAGGCCGCAGAGGCTAATAAAAGTTCGATCGCGTCTTCAGTGCACCCTCCTTTCTAGCCTCCCCCCACTCAGAGCGTAAAGTCCAGCGCATGTTTCGTCCCTACAGTATCTCTTTCTCTATATTCATTCTGTCAGGGACGGACACGCTTCGCCAAATGTTGGGCATGCACCTCTTGCCTGCCTAAACCAGCTTTACGAAAGCCAACAAGAGTCCCCGTTCTACGACCAGGCAAACACCAGCATGGCAGAACCCGGTGCTCCACTCCCGCCAGGGTCGTTCGACACCAGAGTGCCAACAGTCATCGCCGTCGTTGCCATTACTCTCACCGTGGCCACGGCGGCGGTCGGGCTCCGGATATACACGCGAAAATACATCATCAACAACATGGGATTTGATGACTACTTTGCCATCTTTGCGCTGGTCAGCGAGCGAATCCAACACAAAAGCGTATCAATAAGTTCAATGCTGACAGATATGAGGACAGTTGCTCGCTTATGGAACCGGCGTCGCCATCGGCTGCAGTATGCATACCGCCCACCCCCTTCTCAGCCGATGCAGGGTGCTCGATGATTTGCTTATCCGGTGAATAGTGACCAAGTTTGGACTAGGCAAGCACATATGGATGGTGGACATTCCCGTCATGCTTCCTCTCTACCGTCGGGCAAGTCGTCCTCTGACTTGATGCATTGCCACCCACCTCTGAGTTAACACCAAGCTGGCAGGCATTCTACGTTTCCATCGTCATGTATTGCGGCGGCCTGTTCGCCATCAAGATGACCTTCCTGCTCCAGTACTACCGAGTCTTTGCCGTGCAGCGGATGAGAATCGTATTTATCGCCACGACGGCCCTCGTCGGCGCATGGAGCATCTCGCAGCTGCTCATCGGCATCTTCATCTGCAAACCGATCCGCGGGTTCTGGGACTCGAGTATCCCGTCAAAGTGCGTGCCCAACTACCCGCAGTTCTACATCAACGCCGCCGGCAACATCGCCACCGACATCGTCGTCTTCGCCCTGCCCCTGCCACTTCTGTGGAAGCTCAACCTGGGGAAACCGCAGAGGATTATGCTCGTGGGGATTTTTAGCCTCGGCTTCTTGTAAGTCCCCCCCTCTCCTCATCCTCCTTTGCCCCCTTTCCCACGCCAAGAAAACCCCGGACTGAATCATCGCTTCTCCACAGCACCGTGGCAATTTCCGTCCTCCGCATAAAATACCTAAAGCTCTCCGAGGACGCAACATGGGACAACGTCGAGTCATCCAGCTGGTCCATCGCCGAGCTCAGCTCGGGCATCACCTGCGCCTGCCTCCCGACCCTACGGCCCTTCCTGTCGCGCCACTTCCCCGCCCTGGGCTCGCGCCTCGACACCGCCCCGACGACCCACGGCTACCACAGACAAGGAGACGGGCCCCGCAGCAGCAAGTCGGCTGCCAACGACGTCGAGCTCGCGGGCGGCCGCACCAGCGACTCGGCCGGGTCGAGGGACGGATTGTATCGGTCGGTCACGCCCGCGTCGAGCAAGGACGTGCACTATGGGTTCACACGGGAGAACTCGGCTGAGGGTATAATTGGTGGTCTCGAGGCCCCGGAGAAGGCTGGGTTCAGGTTGACTGTCAAGGCGAGGGTCGAGGCGGGAGGGAGGTCGGCGTTGAGGCGGCCTGAGGAGGGCCGCCAGCACAGTGGGAGCGGGATTCGGGTGCAGAGGTCTGTGTATCAGACTAGGCAGGAGAGGGGGCCTGATCGATAGAAGGTGTTTGCCGTTCACGAGGAGTTTGGGGGCCTGGTATTGGGAAGAGGCGTTGGCTTTGATCTTTGTAACGTGTAGGAAGCATGCATGCTATTTAAGTTCCGATACCCCCGCAATAACGACGTATTTTTTGTACTATTAGTACCCGACGAAATCTGATTCATTTTCTCTGGTGTCTGAACGCCGGGACTGCATGTGTTTTTCTCAGTCTCGTGTCACTCTTGATGCAAGCTGCTGCGTTTGTAGCGCTTGATCATATCTCTCCATGGGGGTAGGAAAACGGTTCAATGAGATATAAAAATGAGCGCAGCCTGCTAATCATCAAATCGTTATACTGTACAATAAAGTTTTGCATAATATCCCATGTGAAACAGAAATAGCCATACCCGATGCTATGAAACATAACCAAATTGCGACCCTCCAGGCGCGTTCTGGTTGTTCCCGTACAGCGGAGGCACACCACGAGCATGTTGCAGCAGCTCAGCTCCACCAACATAGCACTGATGTCCGTACAACGGCATCCCGCCCAATCCCGCCAGCTGCGGTAATCCAGACGGCCCAAGGCCAGGACCATAGCCAAACGCGGGGGTGTTCCATGCCGGGAATCCGAGTAGCGGTGGCGCTCCACTTCGCAAGTGGTCAGGTCTGCGCCGGGGAAAATGCCACTCGGACGACTGGGAAGTGTTCATCGTATTCCGGAGCGTGGACGTCTGACGCTGCCCATTTTGGGCCAATCCGTTGCGGGTGATGGGAAATGCGGATGTGGGAGGCAAGAGCGGGAGAGTGAATCCTGTGATTGGTTGACGACGGTGATTATTTATTGATGCAGGGACATGACAAGACTTCAGAGTAATTGTATAAACACTTACTGCCGGCTGCAAACTCCAAGGCAGTTTGCTTGGGAATGAGCCGAGCCCCCGCCGTCACAGCCCCGTCCTGGAGGAGGTACGGGATGCCCGCCTGTGTCTTATAGTTCTCGTCACTGGGCTTGATGCTAGGATTGGTCCAGGATTCCACGATGCCTCCTAGCAGAATCGTCTCCCAGAAACGACCCGCCTCTCCCCTCGGCAAGCCGCAGAGGTCATCGTCCGGGTGAGTCTCATACCCTGACACGCGGACCTTTGGTGGTGTCTGAGGAGACCCCGAGGCTAGCAGGTAGCCCCTCAGGAAGTGAACCAGCTCGTGGGCCGTCGCAATAATCATCAGGAACTTAAAAATGTAGTACCTCTGATGGGGCATTGCATCTTTGGGTGTGCTCTGCTGTATGCCATCCATCTGGTCAAGTACCTGGAAGTGTCTATCATCAGTACTGGGGCATTCAACTGAGTGGGATGATGCAAAGAAAAGCATACCGTCTCGTTCAATTCAAGGTACCCGTGAGCCCGAGGGCTATACTTCTCCACATCGGTGCCCCAGTCATACAGCGTGGGCTGAGAGTCACTGTGCATGGCTTTCAGGTCGATGTTCGGAAACTCCTCCGCCACAGCGGAAAGGAAGCGGTCAATGTACCACGTAGGTCTCTGTCTAAATTCCTCCTCTTTAATAGTCAGCTGGTCTTGATCCGTCTCCCTGACGATAATCCGAGCAACCTGGACCAAGCTGCTTTTCCCTTCAGGGGTAGAGAGTAGTTGCAGCGCCTTTCTCGTGATCTCCTGGACGATTTTGTATTTCACGGTTGTATCCGCGAGATCCTCATACGTGCCCGACTTCAACGTGCGGAGCCTTGGCTTCGATATGGCGCTGGCTGGTTTCGACGTGGTGGAGTTGCTTGAACCCATCCTGATGATGGAGCCAGGTAGTTACCTGTTGAATCACAAATACGTCAGAGTCAAAAACCCCTCACAGCTGGAGGCTGATCTGTCAGGAGGTAGGGTGTAACAGCGGACGGAGGAACTAACATTGCCTTTGGATGGCTGCGGAGGGATGGCTTTGGCTAAGTCGAGTACCTTGGGGCAACGACTGAGATGGCGTAGACACTGTGTGTACAGAGCGGGAAACAAGGTAGTGTTTCCTGTGAGAGTGGCGTATTTTGGACAGGGTGGAACTTGAAGAGACGATGCGCTGTCCTTGACGAGAGGGGAAGAGGTGGAACATTTATGCCAGACAGCCACCTGCCACCCTTCACAACAGATACAGCAAGGTGTAGACTCCAATCATCTCCATCTCCAGAGTGATCGTGCATGGCATTCCGCTGAGGAGGGCGGATGGCGGTTAATCCGCCACTGAATGTTCTGGATACTGACTCGATCCCTCCCTGCTTGCATAAAGTTCATGCCTAGTCAACGTGGTGCAATGATACAGGCTGGACTCGAGACTTTGGCAAGCGCCTGAAAACTAGCTGCATCTTTAGCTGTGTCAGTTTCGTGTTCATGTAGCCTGTGCTTTGCCGTCAAATGCAGCAGTGGGAAGAAAGCATTATGTGCAACCATATGGTATGACTTGGGCCAATAACGTTTGATACCAGTGGCCTGGGACCAATAACGTCACATGACAGTGTGTGGTCTTGATGCAAGCGCCTATTCTGGAAAGACCACACCGCCTTTCACGCTTACCATGTACCTGCCACGCGACCACCCCCTTTGGAATACTCCCAGGGGCTGCATTTACAGCCTGAAACGCGAGGGTATTGGCTGAAAGGTAAATGTGGTGGTACACGCTGGCAACAATTAACAAGCGGCGTTTATGTATTTCTTCCATTGGCTGAAATCAACATGAATGCGGAAACCTATTTTAAGCACCCAGTAGGATGAACCGCAACATAGTTACTCCCCAAAACTATCAGTCCATCCCATCTTCCGTCCCGCCGCCATTTTGCACTTCCATCCCCGTTCGCCCAAACCCTTGTTCTCTCCAATCTAACTCTGTCAGTACATGGCAACTACACATTCCAAGCTCTCAGTCACAGACCTCGAAGAGAGACATCGTTGTATCTTTGCCACGGCCCTGTCGAGGGTGGTAAACTCCGATGTTGCCGAGTCGACGTACGCTCAGATTACCGATGGCGCTCCCCTTGGTCACGTGTTTCGAGACCGTTACAATGGCATCGGACTCCTCCGAAAGCACCCAGTCAAACAACATAAAGAACTCTGCCCAGGATCAATCGAAAAGGCCATCAAGTTCCGGGACGAGTTTAAGCTGGAGGATTTAAAATTCGGTGCGCAGGTAAGTGAGATACTCCTTGACCAGATGTCGGATGCCAGATGCCAGGAAACTAATAATTGGTGATGCTTATAAACGATTTCAAGGCATCAGCGCCTGGGTCAAGAGCATTCAAGATGCGTCTGATTGAGATGATTGCTGTCGCTATCCACCAGATCGCCGTCATGCTATACCAGCTCAACCTCGGCGTGCACACTGACGACAAGATTGGCAAATGGTCACCGCCCGAGACTGACAGTTATTGGAGATTTCGTTCTACCCTGCCGCCCACGCTTTTCTTCCATCGATGGTACCAATGCTCCGACCAGTATCCAGGCGGCCTGGCTAATACGGTAGGCTACTGGGCCGAGTCCCGCATCCTGGGCGGTGTTGTTCTCTTCGACCGGCGCCAAATCGAGGGTGCCAATGTATGTCTACCTTGCCTTCCCTTGCTGTTTTACCACAAACGTATCCCCCCATTACTGACTCAGAATCTCCCCAAGCCGGACGCCGTATTCTTCCACTTGGACCGCTTCGAAACCACCTACCGCATCCACCAGCTCAAAGATGACCAAAAGCAGACCCTCCTCCACTCTTGCTGTCTGACGACAACGATGCTCCCCCGCCCTGTCCGCTCCCCATCCTGGGCGACAAGCGCAACAACATCCGCGTCGACCCGGAGGAGGACATTGAGGAGACGGGCATCTACCGTGATATCTGGGAGCGCAAGCCCATAGACCCGGAGGGGCGCAGTGATGCACGGTTCCGGGACGTCTTTTCTGGGTTGGATTACCCTTATCGCGACGCCTCCGAGGCCCAGTCGCGGGCTTTTGCCCGGCGGGCGAGGAATCGGCTAAAGCTTGGTATATATGATCCCCCTGAATGATCCAGATCTATACGATCCTCTAGATGACGATGATCAATGAGCCTGATGCCGGAATCTGCACTGCTCATGGACTGACCTAGACTTGCCGAGGATCTGGGAAGGGGGTGCCGACGGTTGAGAGACATGATCAAGTGGGCGTTGTTCGAGATACAGGTACAAGACGCTTTCCCGAGGCAGGTGCAAGGGGTGCTTCTTTTTTTTTTTTTTTTTTTTTTTTTTTGGCAGCAGCTAAAGATTGATCTGAGACCGACTTGTCGGTTGGTGAATTCCACGCTATGTAACTATTCAGACCTTCTAATACACGTCCTACGATGGGAGTTCTACCTGTTAACATTCCAGGCAGCTCTAAACTCCTTCACATAGGCCCGTCTCTGTGCTTGCACGGCTCTCTCGAGCCGTTCGTTCGTTTCATGCTCCACATACCTTACATGACCCCAGCACTTCTGGGAGCCCTTCAAACGCCTCGCCGTATTGACGACAAACTTGCTATCGTCCACTATCCGTCTGTTCGCCAGCCTTGGCCAAACGTACGCTTTCGACTCCGGGTCCATCATGCTTCCAGGATTCCCCCGCGCAAATGTGACTCTCCGAACATTTCGGAAGCGGAGGGCTGTAAGGATGCTCGCCCAATTCAGGCCCGTAAGCAACATGGAATCCAGCTCCAGCTCGCTCAGCGCCGGCAGCGCCAAGAGCCGCCCCCACATGGCCTCGAGCTCGCTGTCGGGGCGGAGACAAGACCTCATCTCGGCCAGCTCCTCGTCCGCCGTCGTCGGGGCGAAGCCATCCCTGCACTCCACCAGGAAGCTAATCTTGGTGACGAAGCCGCGCCAGCGCGGCGATATGTTGGTCAGGAACGCGACGCACTCGTATGGCCGCGTGAAGCCGAATGTGTTCCGCGTGTAGAACACGTGGCCCGCCTCCTCGTACCATCTCCGACAAACCAGGAGCGTCTGCAGGTTCTCCCGTCTGGCGCAGAGACAGGGCAAGTTGGCTGCCCGGGGGAATGGCTTGCAGCGATGCCTGTCGTCGTAGCATCGATCGCAGATGTATGGATTGCGCGGTTCCGAGGCCCACTGGCTTCGCCACGGATGCACGTCGGCTACACTGCCTTGGCCGTCGGGCCTGCAGCGCCATTCATCTGTGGTAGAGGTGGTGGCGCAGACAACGCCTTCCTCATGCCATGCCCAGGGGTCGATGTTGAAGTAGGGGTTGGGGCATTTTCGTTTCTCGCATAAGGGCTTGTGCTCGACATCCCACTTCACGGGACGGACCAGCAGCCAGGCGAATATCTCGGCGCGAAGCTCCCCGGCGAGGGAGTGAAAGCGGTCGCCGAGAGTGGGGATGTTTCTGTTGCTGAGTTCGTCGCTCGTGGATTCGTTGCTGCTGTTCGTGTGCAGCGCCTCATCTTGGTCGAGTGATTTCCGTCTGGGATGGATGTATGCCTTCCTTGCAGCCTGCCTCGCAGCCTTTACAATCCGCCGTAGTTTCTTGGCCTTCTTAGCCATGTCGGTGAGCGATATATATTGAAAATGTTGCTTGACGGGTGACGAGCAACCAGTATTGGCAAATCGGATAGTATTGGATAAGGGAAAGTGTTCTTGACTTGGGATGGTGTTGGATGAGGGAAAGTGTTTTCGACTTGGGATCTTGTCTTGTCAAACGCGAATGACTCAACATGAATTAGACTATCGGAGCAGCAAGTAAGAAAACTTTGTTCTCTACAAGAGCTATTAGAGTTGCGCATTGCATGGTAATTTAAGGCTGCTGTTTCCTAGCTGTTCAACCTTATTTCTGCCGCCCATGATGTGCCTCCATAAAGTTTAGTGGCAAACTCGGGTCGTCTTATACATTGAAAAGTCTACTGAGAGCCGATTTATGTTTGTCCGTCGACGGGACTCAGAAGAAGGGCGTTTTCACCGTCTGGTAAATCCCCTCGTAATACTCGCATCTCCCATCAACCTCCTGCTCGTTAATAACCGTGGCCTCTGTTAGCTCGCCGTGACATCCAAAGCAGCCGACGCTACTTCCCGCGGCGTCAACCTTGCCCCACCCAGGACCAGCCCCCCATGGATCCTTGACGAAGCCCGCCCAAGCTGCGTGTATCGTTTTGCTCAGCTCCGCCTCGACCGGGGTGGCATCTTCGGTCGGGTACGTGCCCCAGATCATCTGGAGATCTGAGGTGTGATACACGCCCAAATCGGGATAGCCAGTGATATGGATATTTGGAAACGATTCGTTGTAGTAGTACCTCCACGCTGGAAGGCCGCTCTGGGCTGCCGCGTGGGATACCAACTTTGCCGGCTACATATACGTGGTCTGTGGTCAGCTGGCAGTTCTCTGGGTAGTAGGGTTTTACTGTACTTACACATTGATACACAAGTTCTGTATACGCCTGCGCGGCGGCGTAAAACAACGACAGTCCATCCGTGTACATAATGGACTGCACAAGGGTGTAAAACTGCTGGATCAAGGCCTCGTCCCCTCCAGTGGTACCGGTGATAAACTCCATCAACTGATCATCGGAAAAGTTCGCGATATCCGCCGGAGTCAACTCGTATGTCGCAGCAAGGTTGTTCCCTTCCTGGGACGACGTCCCAATGAGCAGCGGCACCTGCGCCGCCCGACCCGCCGCCCGGTTGTCCAGATACGGCAGCTCAACCTGCGTCACGCCGTCGTTGACGGGGCCGAAATCGATGCTCGCCTCGTTCACCACGTCGCGGACCGCCCTGCCGTCGGCCGCCTGCACACAGGCCAGCTCTGCCTGCGGCGAGTCGCCCGCGCACCCCAGCTCCGAGACCACCGTGTTCCAGGCTGCCAGGCCGCTGTTGCGCTCAAACGGGCTGACCGACGCCTGCCCGCTCGACTCTGCCGCGGCGCGGAACGGCGGCTTGAGCGGAGGCGCGAAGGTGTTGACTAGCCGGTCGACTGAGGATCCACCCGACGACTCGCCCCCGATGGTCACCTTGGCCGGGTCGCCGCCGAAGACGTGGATGTTCTTCTGCACCCAGTCGAGGGCCAGGCGCTGGTCGAGGAAGCCGACGTTGGTCTCGGTGATGGCGATGGCCGGAGAGTTGGAGAAGCCGAATACTCCATGGGCTGATGTTAGAATAGGGGTCGTCACTGGTTTCAGATGAGGGAAGCGGAGGAGGGGGGGGATTCTGCGTACCGTTTAGGCGATAGTTTATCGTCACGACTACGATGTCGTGGTTGGTCGCAAAGCTTGTGCCGTCCAAAGCTGTCTGGGCAGAGGTTCCCGATTGCAGATACCCCCCGTGGATCCAGACCAACACGGGCCGGCCTTTTGTGGAGCACTTGGCCGGAGCATACACGTTTAGGGTGAGACAGTCCTCGTTCTCCCTGCCGACTGGGTCGTCCTCATCTGTACTAGGTCAGCACGAAATCGTAGCCGCGTTAGATAGATCATATGTTTGAGGACGAACAGTCATTCTGCTGAAAGCATTTATGGCCCCATTGAGTGGCATTGAGCCGCGGCGTTGCGAAGGCAGCCAGAGGTGTAGGAGGTAAGAACCGTTTTGTGCCCAAGGGAGGCTCAGCGTAAGGGATACCGAGGAACTGGTTGACCTTTACCGTCGACGAGGGCAGCGAGGTGGCCACACCGACAACGGTCCCGGCGTCAACAACTGCACTTGGTTGGAACGTGGGGCTTGCAACGGCTACGCCAAGGAGCAGCGGGACGAGGTAGGTGGCAGACCTCATCATGGCGGCGCAATTGAGGCAAAAGAAGGGATGGATGAAAGCTCTGCAGATTGTGCCACTTCCCCTTCAAAGCGCTCATACTTATACTTTTACAGTCGTTGCAAGTCGTGGCGTGTAAGTGCCCAATCTTGCAATCCAGCGGAGAGTTATCGCCCCGATTGGCTCAATGACACTAGTCATCAAATAGAACAGTCCCATTTCGCAGTATGTTGCCAGGTTAGGAAAATAACAGCCCCATTTCGTGGTATGTTACCAAGTTGGGACAAGTTGGGAATATTCCCCACATTCAACGCACACACAGCCAATAATACTCTCCAGTTGGATTCCCCGTCAGTCTTCACGGGGATCATTAAGGTTAGGTTCGATTTAGCCTAAACGCTAGCCCTTCGTCACTACATGGTGGACTTCCAGGGGTTGGAATCCCTCGGGCTTCCGGTCAGGAACTCCCCAGCGTGTTCGCGATCATAGGGCCGCATTCCGCAGCATCGGGGACGCAGTCGAGATGGTGGCTGACTCTGTGCGGTGGGCGTGCGAGTGGGGCGTGCGTGCGTAGAGGGATCGAAGAGGTGGACACCGACCATGTAACTATGAGTGTGAGAAGCACCTGTTGACAAATGGGGCAAAAGCTCACATTGTCGACAAATACATTGAAGAGCCGCATTTTAGGTCATAATTATTTGACGTATTGGAAGCTCTTCGCAAATACCCAAGAACCAAAATGCGGCCACCTGCGGCTAATTATCAAAGCACAACATCCCGGGAGCCTGCCTGCATACCGTCCGTTTGACCGGAGCACCGATCACGCTTCACCGGCCGTGTCTTCTCCCAGCTCGTCGGAAGCGGTCCGCTTCAGCCATTCAGACTCAACAACAGATTTGTCTTATCGCTTTGCTATTTTCGATGTTAATTAGCAACCCGGACTCGAGACAAGGTAAATAGAAGCATGGATGGGAGGCAATTCTCACGACGTGTTCCTACTCCCTTGCACCATCCGCAGGTAATGAAAACATGTCCCTTTCCTTGACAGCCGTTGCAATTCCAATTACCTACAACTCCTCGCCCCCAACAGTTGTTGCAGTCGGATCGGCGTGTGCCGTGGCCCCCACACTTGGAACAAAGGACCATTGTTCGGTGTCGGCGACGTAAGTATGTTGCACAGCTATTGTGTGAAACTGGTCGTCCAGTTTAACTCGCGGTTTTAAAGTCTAATCCCTTCGAGCGGGAGACTTGAATGGAGAGTGCGTTGCAATTATCCAGGACAAGAGAGGCCAGATCGGAATGATGGCCACAGCTTATTATGTAGCCAGATTGGGATGCAAGAGGAGCATGTGGGTATGTAGGATCTCTGCTGTATTTGTTGTCATATGTGGGTCTTTAGATAGTGAGGCTTTACGTTTGCGTCCAACCGATTTGATTAGGCGACCGACATAACAAGTATCAAGGGGGCTGAGTATTTCAAACGGGCTAATTGGTCAGCCGGGGGAAGTAGGCTGCGACTCCTGTCCAACCCATTATGTGAGGCAACTGGAGATACAGTAGTTCAAGCAGGCTGAGTATTTATAACAGGGCGATTGGTCAGCTCGGGGTTGGGTGGAGTGGTGCTTGTGCAAACACACTGCAGCCAGGCTCAATCTACCTTCCTATTTCAGGTTACGTGCAATTACTTATCGGCTATCGCTGCCGATATCTTAACGTGAGGCTCTATCTCATCAGCGCCGCCTGCTTGCTCTGCTACGTCACTCTTGAGATTGTCAGTCCAGGCCGGTCTCATTGTTGGTCCATCCAATATCGGTAGTCCACATTAAGCAATCCGGGCGAAATATTGGCAAATCCGAATTTGAGTATAGCTGTCTCTCCTAGTTCTGTCAAGATGTTGGAATCAGAGCTGAGATCTTGTCAAGCGCATCCTCAAGTTGGTAAAGACAGCTACCACAAAGCCCAACTGACCCATGAAAGTGCCAGCCCTTTTCTACGTCTGTCCACCGCAGCCTAATGGCCCTTGCGCACTTTAACTTCCTATCTTGCAGCCCAGAGTGAGATACACAATGCCAATGCCATAGTACACCGGTAGTCAGCAAACGTAATAGATATCAAGCCATGCCTGAGAGATTTTTCAAGTTTCAGCCTCCTTGAGGGGGGAGAACAAGGTCTCAATTAACTAGAAGAGAAAACAAGTTAGCAACACCCAAGCCGGTGATGGAACGAGGAGTAATAAAGGAACAACGGTAATATCCACCCATCGGTCTAGTTCCCGATCGTTTGCATGGAAGTCCGCGAGCTTTGCATCAAGTTTATCTGCGATGTATTAGTAGGTAGAATATTTGGCGTGCGGAGCTGGATAGGAGGCCTATTACCCGAAGTAACGAAAGCCACTGGAGCGATATCCGGGCTGCTTCCGAGGGATTCCAAAAATTTTGTGGCACTGACTGCCGTCCCGATCTGGCCAATCATGAACTTCACACCTACGGGTTGATACCGTCAGCGGATGACACTACCGGAAGGTGACAAGGGCTGGAAAGAGAGGGTTGGGCATAAGACACACGTACTTTCGCGAGGGTAGTCAGCGTCTTGTAGCTTGTTACCACACTCCAAGATGGCGTTGAGAAGCTCGGACTTGTTTTCAGGCTCAGGCATGCCGTCGGTGATGATAGAGATGAGTACCGGCCTCTCGAGCTTCTTGGCTTCGAGCTTGCTGTAGACTAGCGGCTCGAGAACTTTAGATCTCAGGTACGTGCCAATCTCGGTGTTGCCGCCGGGCTGCCACGGCATGGGATCCATGATGCTTCCTATACCCTCGAGGGTCAGGTTGGAGGAGTTGTCCACCTCTCGGTTGATGAAGCGCAGGGCAACGCCTTCACCCTCGGGAAGGATCCGGGTGGTGATCTTAGTGATTCGCTGGATGAGTTTCTTCTGGCTATCCCAACGGCCTTCGCGCCTCATTGAGGTACTGTCATCTAGGTATGGTATGGAGTCGTCAGAGTTGAGCAAAAAAAGAAAAAAAAAAAAAAGAAAAGAAAAAAAAAGAAAAAAGAGAGAAAAGGGAGGGATTGTGAACGCAACGCTGCGCTTGAACTCGGGACAAACTTACCGCAGTAGATGACTTGCTGATGCAAGGACACTTTGATCGTCTTGGGCAAAAGGTCGCTGTCGCCGAGGTCAGTATCCGGGTCCTCCTCCAGGTCCGCAGCCTTCCGGGCAAGTTCTTGTATGAAGTCCGTCTTGTCCTTGAAGAAGCGCTCCAGTACGGCGTTGTCCTTGACAAATTTGTCAACGTTTTTCACGAACTCGTCTGCCTTGGTCGGCTGCTCTGTGCCGTTCACAGCCTGCGTTATTTCCCCAGTCAGTGGACCGTTTTCCACATTTCTCTGGTCTCATCGGTGCCTTTAATACTTACCTGGTTGGTGCGTTGGTCTAGTTCGGGGTTCAGCCCGGATGCCCGGCGGACGATGCCGTTGAGGGCGGCGTTCACCCAGGCAACAATGTAGAGCAGGAAGGAAACGACCACGGCAGCCAGCCTCGCGAGGTCTGACTGCTCCTTGTCTGGGTAGAGCGCACGAAGGACGGCCTTGTCATTTTTGTCCTCGGCCATTTCCTTCGCATTGAATCCGCCGTCATTCTTGATCGTCAGAGAAGCCCCGGCCCTTCGCAGCATCCTGATGGAGTCGATATCCTTGTTCTCGATGGCATGCATCAGCGGCGTCTTGTTCTCGGCATCGCGGCAGGTGGTATCGACGGAGCGGGAGGGTGTCTTCGCGAGGAGCAGCTGGATGATCCGAGGACGCTCGTTCGTGGTCTGCCACGCGGCGAGGAGGAGGGGGGTTTCGCCGTTCCTGGAGAGACCATCTGCTTTGGCGCCTTTCTTGAGGAGCTGCTCGACCTCTTCGACGAATCCTCCAACGACGGCTATCGCCAGCAGCGTCCGGCCTGAGCCAGGGTCTTGTTCATCGAGCGTATTCGGATTGTTTGCCATGTAATCGTCAAGCCTGCGCCCAACAAGGATGCCCGCAAGGGCATCATCAAAAACTGACATGATGGCAGCTTTGGCTTATCTCAAAGAAAATGATCTAACGGGTATCTTGAGCAGCAACCTTTTATTTATGTGAAGGAAAGCAAGGTCGGCGGGATAATTATCTGCACTGCGACGAGCAAAGTGCCAAGTATCAAACGTGTCGCCATTTCGGTCGAGGAGCTCAGCTCTGCGTACGCAAAGAGAGGGCAGCGTTGGGTAGCATTGCAGCGGACACCCTACTGGGGCTAACGCACCCTGCTCACTCAAGCACGGCGCGGGATGCTAGCTAGCTGGCAAGAGATGCAGGAATGGTACCGAGTGAGAGATGATGATGATTCTTCTTCATTGGTGCTATCTCTTCCCATACTTTATCGTACTGTAACCCCATGGGTCGTGGTGCAGCTTTTCAGCTGTGCCGGAGCCATGTCGGCTTCCCGGAAAGGAAAACGCCACAATATCCACGAGTGCATATTCTGGGCGTGGAGAGGTCGGACAGCCAATTAAGGGCTCTCGAGGGAGTCTCGGCTACCATGGGACATTGTGAGTGTCCAGCTGATATGTTGATCAAGTTACCCGAATTGATACAACAGCCGCCCGGCCCAGCTGAAATCGCCGGAGCAAGTTGAGGCGTTAGTCTGGACCTCAGTACAAGAACGAGACGACCCCAATCCCTTTGACATTCGCATCCCCCCATATCGCCCTCCATTGTTCAAACCATGGATAACGCCATCAAGCTCTTCAAATCCCAAAAAATTCCGGTCCTCGAGCCTGGGCAGTCGGAGTATGACCGTGCCATCGCAACTGCGAATCTCTTGTTCCGCTTCTCGAGACCCGATTGCGTGGTTCAGCCCGAGACCGCTGCACAAGTCCAGACCATTATCAAGGAAGCAAGATCGAACCGGCTCAAGATCACCATCAAGTGCAACGGTCATTCCTATGCCGGGCACTCCACTGCCTTCCAGGGCATCTCACTGGACCTCAGGAAGATGAAGAAGGCGGAGCTCGACATGAAATCGAAGACAGTTACCATCGATGCCGGTTGCCAATGGGGCCACGTGTATGGGACACTTATCAATGGCCGGCATAACGGGTTCATCATCAATGGCGGGCGATGTCCTACTGTGGGAGTGAGCGGTTTCCTGTTAGGGGGTGGTCTTGGTCCGTTCACACGCAGCTTCGGAATGGGAAGCGACACTCTGATGGAGGCCACCCTTGTGACTGCAGATGGGGAGTTGGTTACTGTCAAGGAAACCGATGATCCAAAATCCAAGGAGGGCAGGCTCTTCTGGGCCCTCTGCGGTGCAGGTGGTGGTAATTTTGGTGTTTTGGTCCAGATGAAGCTGAAGGTGCAGCAGCTGCAGAGCATGAATGGCATGGTGGTAGCTGGGAGATATCAGTGGTTCCCCACGGACGGGTTTACCGACGACGTCATCGACACGATGAACGACTTCTACACAACCGACTGGCCCAACAAGATAACCATTGACAGTACCTGGATATGCGACCTGCGGCAGAATAATTCGCTCGGAGGAGTCCGGTTCACCGTCGCCTTTGATGGCAGCAAGCCCGAATACGACAGAGTCATCGACAAGTACATCAAGAATGAAGACCTAAAGGTCCAACTCAAACGGAGAGTACTGGCCGAAAGATCTACACGTTTCCTTTACGAGACGCTGGTGAATCAGTGGTTTGAGGAGACTGAAAGAGCCTATCCTACCAATAAGACCTACGAGCTCTACAGCTCCTTCGTCTTCAAGAACGACAATAAGAACACCATCCAGCAAATCACTGCCATCATCCGAGATTTGATGAAAGAGTTCCGGAACGACTTCAAAGGGGAACAAGTCAACTTCCTGGTCACTTGGATCCATACTGGGGGCAAGGCCACCGAGAAGAAGCCCAGCGACTCGGCTTTCTTCTGGCGTGAAGCTGTGTTCCACACATATGTCACAGTCGAGTGGGTGGACAAATGGATGGAGAGGGACATGAGGAACTTCCTAGCGAAGATCAAGACGGCGCTGAGGCCCCTTTCTCTGAATGGTGCGGCTGCATTCATCAACTTCCCCGACCGAGACTTCCCAAGAAAGTCTCACGAAGTGGCATATTTCGGAAACAATCGCGAGGAGCTGCGGAAGGTCAAGGAGATATGGGATAAGGATAACTTCTTCAGGTGGGCTCAAGGTGTTCGGCTTCCGGGGGATCTAGAGGAAGATAAGGAGGCGGATGGTGATGAAGATGAAGCTGAAGATGAAGAGGAAGACAAGACAGATCAGCTCGCGGGTGAACAGTGGGAATACTACAAAACACCGGACATTGTAAAAGACCTCGACGAATTGGCTGATTTGGGGTTTTGACGGAAGGAAGAGGATTGCATCTTGTCAAGCGCGTCATCCTTTCGTTATATCATGAGGCTTGATTCAGGCAAACTAATAAAGAGAGCGCTCTACGTCTTCACTGTAAACTCCTTGGTAGCCCTAGGCTTTGTCAAAGCCCACTGTATACCATTCTCCATAACCTCATTCCACCGTTTCGTAGCTGAGAGCTTGTCTCCAACCATGGCGAACGCATGAGGCAACCCCACAAACACGTTGATGTCTGTAGGAACTCTACATTGGCAGTCAGTAAAACCAGTCACATGAGGTTTGGGGCAAAAGAGTAACGGCGCTTCTTACCCAGCTTCTGCCAGCATCTTTGCGTAAAGCAAGCCTTCATCCCTCAACGGGTCGAGACCCGCGACCCCAAAGATGGTTGGCGGAAGTCCAACCACCTGTTCAGGGGTAGCATTTCCAGGGTTCAGCTTGGTGCCTTCCGCTTCCACATTTTCAATCTTCAGAAGACTCGTGAAGAAGTGGATCATCTTCACGGGCAGGATGGGGGCGTTCTCGTTCTCCTTGTACGAAGACACTGATGGATCCTTCAGCTGCCCCACCTGCGGCTCGTGCCAGCCAATGTTGGAGAGAGATGGGACCATCAAGACCTGCCCGGCGACGCGGGGGAGGTTGGCTGCCACCCTCCCGAGGTGCTGTTCCAGGGTGAGCGACGCGGCAAGTGTCGAGCCTGCCGAGATGCCCCCGATCAGCAACTTCTGACCGTCGCCGCCAAGGTCGTCAATATGCGCGTGGGCCCACTCGAAGGCATCCTGCACATCATGCCACGCGGTAGGATAGGTGTGCTCTGGCGTGTGTCGGTAGTTGACGTTGAGCACTACAACCTGGGCGTTGAGGGCGATTCGAGAGCAGATGGCGTCCTCGGAGGAGAGACTTCCAAACATGTAGCCGCCGCCGTGCAGATGTATGTAGACTGGCAGGCGCGTGGCTGCATCAGCCGACACCGGTCTGTAGCTGCGCCCCTCGACCGAGCTCCCGTCCCTCGTGGGGATCGAGTAGTCTCGGATGTGAACTTTGGGTCGCAGAGACTCCATCGCTTCTGCGGCCATGATCTCCCGTTTTTCGTTATTTAACCTCACCACTTCAGTCAACGGCATATCCGCCGGCGGAGGCGGGGGTAAGCTGTCCGCCACAGCGAGCCACTCTTCGCTGGCGCCTCCATAGCAGGAGAAGTCGCACATGATGCCCAATCTCTTTAACAAAGGATATGATGATGCTTGGGCTGACGATAATTGACGGCTGGATTAACGAGAGGGCAAACCAGCATTTAGGGTGCTGGTTTACAAAGTTGGGTTTGTAGTTGGCACCCCTCAAGTTTACAACCCCTCTTCCCTCGTCGGCACTTTCGCGCCAAGATCTTGGGAGAACATAGGGCTCCACACATGCAAGTTCTATGGCTGGGGGTTCTCGGCACGTGGATTTCTAAAATAGGGAATGAAGTTTGTCTAGATCACATGATAATCGCATTTCAAGCGGAAACCGAAACAAAGAAATGTCCCTCATGTCGACACACAACTCAACAGAGCCTGCGTCAACCGAAAAAGTAACCATCGTCAGTCTCATGGGGCTACCATGACTGCTAGATGGCCAACTCGAAGGCTGGCGGCGCAAGGGCAGTCCCGCCCCTGCCTTAGGGAACGCCACGCCGACCCAGGACTGCGAGACCATCATGAGAGTCCAGCTAGAAATCACAAGTTGAGCTTTTCTAGACCCGCAAAAATAACCTATCTATTTGACATTGGTAATTGAATATAAATTGATGATACAATGGCGCTGTGAGATATAGGTTAGAATAACGGAGCTAGCGGGCTTTCCTAGTTTACGTACAATGCAGAAGAAAACAGTATCATCTTATCTCGGTCGGGGTTCAATTACAGCTTGACCGACGGGGCTGGAGGGGGCCGCAGCTTGTCGGAGACGGTAAGTATCGATGATATGGCGGCTCTGGCCCAGCAGCGTTTGTGCTGGTGACAGAACACCGGCTCGGATTTGGTAGGTTGTGGGAGCATCAATTTTGGGCAGCATATTGGGCTCAAAAGCCTCAGGCACCCAGCACAGCCCGCAGAATTCAACTGAATCAAGTTGATCATGAAGCGTACGTCTAGCAAAACCAGAAACTCGGGCCCCATGTCTGTGTTTGCACACTCGGCCCGGGATTACCTTCAAGCAGCCACAGCTTAGCACCATGCACAGCCGTGGAATTTGGCGAGAGTAACTGAGGTGTACTGCACATGAGTTGCCTTCAGAGTACAATGATTGGTAAGCCTGTAAATCTCGGCTTTTAGAGGCGCAGCGCCTAGGCTTACTTACCAGCTACGCCACTTGGTGCCCAAAGCCAAGACAGTTCTCAAGAGAGCCTAGCCGTCAGAGAAAGCCTACAGGAATCAGGACTTTATCCACTACGGCCCTCGTTACGTGACATCAGGTTCGAATATCAACCATGCTTGATAAACTTGAGTCCCTGACAGATAGCCGCTGCACCAATGCAAAACAGACACGCTCAGGGCTTCTATTCAACGACGGCATCCTAAAGCCTAGCAGCAGAAGCTAGAGACCGTGTTCCACCAATAGTTGAGGCGGCTAATAACCTACGATACTATGAACGGCGCCACTGTCGAGCTAGAGAGCACTCAAGTTCCGATCGGGATGCTAACCACTGGCGTATGCAGCGACATTAAGTTCACCGTGTGCCGGAACATTGAGCACATATAGTCAGTATGTGCTAGTTATCCGGTCTGCGGAGACTGCGTTCCCGTGCTACTGGGCGAGCCACCGAGGTCAGGACGTGGGAGAGCGAGTTCCAGCCGAGCTTCTAATCACCAGCTATTAGTGGGCAAAACCAGCTGCCCGGCGCGAGGTTCTCGTTGGCCTAGGCGAAGAAGCGCGGCCAGTCGGCGAACGAGGCTGTCATGTGGCGGCTGTAGATGAAGTCGAACGAGACCGAGAAGGTTCACGCCTTGTCGAGGTCGTCGATCTGGAACTCGACGTTGGGCGGCACAAAGGTTGACTGGGTGGGTGGGGCTCAGGACGACGCCCACGACGGTCGCCGCCGGGTGGTCGTCGGTGAGGTCGATGGCCCAGGTGCCGACGTTGAGGACGCGGTGGACCGGATGGGCGGCGTCCTAGCCGGCTGGCTAGCCAGAGGTTCAGCTTGTTGCCAAAGGTCATGTGGGTGAGGGCGTGCTGGAAGTCGAGCCGGTCCTTCTCCGGGTCGTCGTTGGGCCCGATGTAATTACTTGCCCGCCTTGTAGCTGTGGTAGGTGCGGCCATTCTCCTTGCAGAACTTCATCACGTTGCTAAACAGCGACGCTGTGGACCTCGACACGCTGGCTGAGTCCATCGTCGTCGACTGCGACCTCGACGGTGCCCGGCGCTGGCGCTGGCTCGATTTGGGGTTTAGACTCGGCCTTTTTTTTGTGGTTTCTTTTTTTCCCCCCATTTCCGTTTCCGATGTCGAGGATAGCGGCACGGCTACATAACCGATGATCTCTGTGGCGGTCGATTGCGTGTTGTGGGGGGGGGGAGGGGGGTGTGTGGCCTGCGTGAGGGACTTCGAGGGAACTTTCTTCTGGAAGATGCACGGAACCATTCCGTAGTGGGATCCATTTCTATTCCGTACTTCGCTTCTTTGTGGCGCTACTGGACCGGCTAACTTGTCGGGGAGGAACCCGATCCCTGGCCAGCGCATAAGTGCGGGAAAGCGCGCATAGGCCCGCCGCGTGGGGGTACAGTAGAGCGATGGGAGCTTCTGCCAAATTGAGCCAATGCCGGGCGGGAGCCAGCTCACGGCTCAGCTCATCACCGAGATTCGCCAGTGACAGACGAATTCCAGATCGCTGGCGGAAATTGGATGCGAACAGCAGGGTAGACGTGTCTCGACAACGCGAAGGTCGTGGCTCGCTCAGTGGCATTCTTAATCAAGTTGAAGAAAGTTGACGCCATATAAACTCTATCCAGTCTAATCTAATCTAAAGCCTCGAAGCTACCAAGTTTCATGAACACGTTGCGGATACTGCTCCCCTGGATGGCTACTTCTATCCTCAGTAGTGACCGCGATTTCGTTAGATATGATGATACCATTCGTCAAGTGGTTACCACTCCCATGCACCGCATAAGCCTTCAGGCTCTGCAACTTGACGTCGTTCATCATCTGTTCCTCGCTCTCGGTGAATGTCAAGTTGGCGGTAATGGGGTTTGCGCTGGGAGGCCCGCGACGATTACGGCCGCTGGACTCGCCGCCGCCACCACCGATGGTCCGGAAGCCAGTTGGCGTTTTGTATGTCTTTTGGGAAGAGCGCAGCACACTGCCGCACAGCGGCCTGAACCACGTCTTCAAGAGGGGGAATATCATGGGGAGATTGGTCGTGACCACCGCGACGAAGGCCTCCCGGGTGCCCCATGCGCCAGCAAGTTGTGCACCATTGACAGGGTCCTGTGGACAACGGGATGTGAATTAGAGAAAGGCTCCCACCTCCGAGAAAAGAAACAACGACAATGACAATTCGGGGAGATGAGACTCACCACCAAGACAAAGATACTCTTCAGAGTAGCGCAGACGAGAACAAATATGCCGGCACCGAGGATAATGGTTGCTGCTATTTTCTTCAGGAGCTTCAAGCTTGATTCCCAGAGCAGGGGAATTGGGATCAATATGAGATATATATCGGTAGAGACGTTCGCGGCGAATGAGGCCCAGATAATCGGCTTGGACACGGCAGCCTGACAGAAGTCTAGAAGCAGAGAAGTGTCAAATTAGCACAAGCTGAGCAACCAGGACGACGAATGGAAAGCCTTACTGCCAGGATCTGGATAGATCTGCCAATAGTTCTGGAATGGCCGGCATGCCAGGAACACTGCCCCAATAGACGCGAGAAAGGTTGCGATAACGAGGGCAAACCCAATGTAGATGCGAAGGCGATAGCGCCGGCCAAGACCTTCCTGTCGGGTGCGTCAGTTAATTACCAGTCTCCCGACAGGACCGTAATCAGCCGGCGATTGACGAAACCATACCGTAAGTCGAATGTAGAACACCAACATGGCCAGCTTGAGCGACCACATCAAGGCCGAGTAGGTTGTCCAGCCTGCCACTTGAATCTTCGACCCGATTATCCTAGACGGGAAGCAAGCAGTTGGCAACCGTGTGCTGTGCACGCTTCGACTCTTGGGACGCACCTGAGTCTGTATTCCGGATCGTCGACGGACAGTGCAACTCGCTCGGCCTCGGTCATGCCATTGTTTGCGAGGCCACGGGCAACGTTGCCCACGCTGTAGGCCAAGGTCGCTTGGGTGGTGTAGAACATCTGCATAGATTGGGATTAACGACAAGTCAAGTCGATGCGGTGCGAAATCCATAGGGGCGCACGAACAATGCCAACCCACACCAGGTAGTCGTCTGTTCGAAAAGATCTAATGCCGACGGCCTTTGCTCGGGCGTATGTCCTGAGCAGCGTCACGAGAACGCCAATCGAGTAGAGTGTCCATGACTCGATCGCGAACGAGTGGAAGGCCGCCGCAGCAGCTTCTGCGGCAGCCTGTGCCGCTGGATCAGAAGGAGTACCGCTTGACATTCGTCAACACGAAGGGAGCGTCTACTTGGGTGGTGGCTGGTGGCTGGTGACTGGTGCGCCTCAGGGAAGCATGGCGCAAAGACGGGTCAAGTCAAGTCAACAAGAACGAGGAGCAAGAGGCTGCCAGGCTTGGCTTCCATTTGTATGTACAAATGCCAGGAATGACCGAGATATCGGGGGGGGGAATCTTTGCCCTTAAGACGGCCAGAGGGTCTGTCTCAAGTAACAAGGGTGGTGCAGAGTTACTGAGGAAGGGGAGTCAAGGTCGAAGGAGCGAAAGAAAAGGGGCGGGTGGCGTGATTATTTGGAGAGGAAATGGCGGGATTGTCCAGCCGACATTGCCATCTTGTACAAGGGTCCAGGGGACGTAGTACTGCTTTGGGGGTCAACTTCGCTAGTGGCTTGCAGGAAAACAATAATGGCTGCATGCTGCATGTGCGGACAAGGGCCGCATGCAGCATGGCTGCATGCAGATAAGGGGACCGAAATTAAGGAATACTTGTTACGTTACCAACGGATTATTTTTGTCTGCATGCCACATAAATAATTACCAGCTGCTGCGCTCTTGTTGCACTCGTCAACAGCACGCAGTTGCTCAGCTCGAGGAACCAGCCAATAACTCTTCCGCAACCCCCGGCTCTCCCCTTTCCTTTGCCGCAACAATGCATTGGTTCAAGATCGAGCTGCTCGCGGCTGTGGTAGGGTGGGCTGCCACCTCTGCCGGCGCCAATGTCCCCGTCGCCCACAATTGGCTCAGGGGCATCTGCCCGCGCGCAGAAGACGTTCAGGAACTCGGGAGGAAGCTCTCGTGCCGCGCCAAGATCTATTTCCCTGGATCCGACGAGTTCGACGCCGCATCAGCCCGGTGGTCTGCATTGGGAGCCCCCAAGGTGAACGTCGTCGTGGTTCCTGGCACGGAAAACGACGTTGCTGAGACGGTATTTTCCTCCTTTTTCCCTCCCTTGCCCCCTTTTTCCCCCTCTCTCCTCCTCTTCTGTTTCTTGATTTCTCTTATTTTACCAAGTGCTATCTATCCACCCTCAACCCCGTGGTGATTAATATGTCGCTCATCATGCATGGTCTAGGTGAAATTTGCAAACAAGAACAACCTCCCCTTCCTCGCCTTCAATGGCGCTCACGGAGCGATCACCACGTTGGGGAAGATGGATCATGGTATCGAAATCTACCTGAGCCAGTTGAACAGCGTCAAAATCGCCGAGGATGGGAAAACAGCAAAGTTTGGCGGCGGAACCATGTCCAAGTTGGTCACCGACACGCTTTGGGCGGCTGGAAAGCAGACAGGTGAGTGCATCCCCAACACCTACATATGTGGTTTGCGAAAAGCTGGCATGCTGATTTGACTTCGGGAGACAGTGACTGGAACGTGTGAATGCGTCAGCTATCTTGGACCCGCACTCGGAGGTGGCCACGGCTGGCTTCAGGGACATCACGGGTTGATCGCGGATCAATTCGTTTCCATGAATGTCGTGCTGGCCGACGGGACCTTGACCACAATCGACGCATCATCGGACCTCTGGTGGGCCATGAGGGGCGCCGGGCACAACTTCGGCATCGTCACCTCGGTCACCTCCAAGGTCTTCGACATCCAGCACCGCGACTGGGCCATCGAGACCCTCATCTTCAGTGGCGACAAGGTCGAGGCTGTGTACCAGGCCGCCAACGACCATCTCCTCCAGGGCGGCGCCCAGCCTGCGGATGTCATCAACTGGTCATACTGGCTGAACATCCCCGAGATTGATCCGGAAAATGTGAGTCCACGATCAAGCTAGCCCGAGTACTCGTCGCGTCTAACCGTCCTACTAGCCCATCATCCTATTCTACATCATCCAAGAAGGAGTGACAGCAGTCGATCCGGCCTACACCACACCCTTCCACGACATCGGACCGCTTTCCGTGGACCCCATAGCAGGCACCTACGGCGACCTGGCCGGATGGACTGGCATCGCCGTAGATTCCCCGCCATGCCAAAAGGAAGGGCTCGTCAATCCGCGCTTCCCCATCTATCTCGAGTCGTACAACGTCACGACCCAGAAGACGGCATACGACGTCTTCGCATCCGGCGCCAACGGAGCCTCCCCCTTCAGCGCCTCGATCTTCATGTTCGAGGGCTACTCCGTGCAGGGCGTGCGGGCCATCGACAGCGACTCGGCCGCCTTCGCCTTCCGCGGCGACAACCTCCTCTCCGCCCCGCTCATCACCTACGCGCCCGCCGGGCCGGAACTAGACGCCGAGGCCGCGCAACTCGGGAACCGGCTTCGTGAGATCATCCGCGAGGGCAGTGGCCGGGAGGAGGTGCACGCGTACGTCAACTATGCCTACGGAGACGAGACACCGCAGCAGTGGTATGGGTATGAGCAGTGGCGCCAGGACCGCCTGCAGGCTCTCAAGGAGAAGTATGATCCAGAGGGCAAGTTTAGCTTTTATGCGCCGGTGGCATAGATGGAGGAGCAGTGCCAGGGTTGTACGCCCAATGAATGGAAGTAAGATATATATTTACAGAGTAGTACTTCCATCCTCTTTTTGGCATAACCCAGCTTCGTGTAGCGAGGTTAGATGTCTTTGCTGAGTAGGCCTTTTAATAAATTAGTATCTTATCTCTTCGAAATCACCTACCCACAAGCTTCACTGCCTACCAACCCTGACCAGAGAAGGCACAATGACGGGGCTAAACATGAAGTTAGATCCTCTCTTGACCTTGGTCAAACTTCATCCATCCCCTCATATCCATGGGATGAAGCCTGGCACACCTGATAGACTCTCGACCGCGTGGCTACACCTTCCTCACCTCAGCTACCCCCCCTCCAACTGCCACCGTCTACTCAGACCCCTTTCTCTCAGCCGTTTAGTCGACCGCCGAACTCATCACTGTCCTCGCGAATGCACGCGCATTGTCTGCGCTTCCGGAGCCGCACCGTCCCCGGACCGGGTCCGGCCCGTGCTTGGCAACCCCCAGCCGGTTCCTGGCGGCACAGACTCCCGCGGCGGCTTTCACCTTGTCAGCGCTGGGTGCGTGCGGATTACGGCCCACGCGCCACCTCCGGCGAAAAAGAGGATATACTGTTCTCCTTCTTGTCTGAGGGGGCAGTTTGTTCTCCTTGTTTTATTGTAATATTTTAACCGAAGTGGTTGGTTGAGTCGGTTCCTTTGTTCGCGTACATCACCGTTGTAGGCTCGTATATCGACATTGTTTCGCATTTGCACCATTATTCTTCTTGTCAACTCCTTTGTTCTGCTCGCATTTACGAACTCATTGTTGTCATTGATGCCTGGTGTCATCAGCACATGCAACCCACTGCCCTTGTCTTCCGTGGAAAATCCCATGTATAAAAGGAGGCCCTCCCTCCCAGCCAAACGCTGATCTCCAATCACATCGACGAAACTTACAACACCCGCTTCCTAACCTGCCCACCATGTTCTTCAGGCTCCTCCTCATGAAACCGGCTCTTCTCGGAGTGACCAGCGGGCACATGATCATGGTCACCCCAACCCCTTACGACACCTCCCTCCCACGACCTGACCCCCAAACATGGCCTCTGGACACGGCATCTCTACCTTTCCCTTGCCAGATGGGCGGCGACCCCGTGGTTCAGAGCATCACCGAAGTTACCGCCGGCGCCTCAACGCTAGTTCAATTCTCTGGCTCGGCCGTGCACGGAGGCGGCTCATGCCAGTTCAGCATCAACTACGGCGACCCGTCCTCTCCAAATTCCAATGACTGGCACGTCATCTACACCATCATCGGCGGCTGCCCAGCCTCGAGCGTCGGGAATATTGAGACCATCGGCGAGGACGCAGACCAGCGGCCACTTGGGCGGCAATGCGGAAACGCGGTGGACACGGAGTGTGTGCGCCGGTTCGAGATACCGATCCCCAAGGGCATGAGGAATGGCAACGCGACGTTGGCGTGGAGTTGGTTCAACAAGATTGGAAACCGCGAGATGTACATGAACTGTGCGCCTATTGTCATTTCTGGCGGCGGTGCTGACGGCGATGCCTTTGTCAAGGGGCTCCCTGCTATTTTTTTGGCCAACATTAATGGGCAGCCCTGCAAAACGGCCAAGTCTGAGGGCGCGGTGCTAAATATTCCCAACCCGGGGGCGTTCGGGGAGATTCTGGAGGAGCCAGACTCTGAAGCGATTGGAAACTGCTCTCCGGATGGGCCTGTTCCTCTTCCAAACTTTGAGACCGGGAGCACCGCTACTTCTAGTGGCCTAGAATCGAGCATTGCCAACACCAGTCTCACGGCCTTGGAGTCTACCAGAACCACGCCACTCACGACTGCATTGACTTCCACAACGGTCACTACCCCGGCGCGGGACAACAGCACGTCTGGAATAGTCTCAGCTTTCTCCTCATACGAGGTGAGTAGTCCCCTGTCCGTCCCACTGACAACCAGCTCTAGCTTGTCGACTACTGCCTCGGCTTTATACCATAAGCCGAACGGCTGGGTGGAATGCGACGCTGAGAGTGGGGGATTTTTGTGTCTCAACCAGACGCATTTCGGCATATGCAACTCTGGATATGCTGCTCCACAGCTTGTGCCTGCGGGTACTGCGTGTGACCTTAAGCACAACATGATCATTGCACTGGAATAAGCTTTGGTTAGCACATATGCTTGGAATGTCAGACTTGGAGAGGAAGGAGAGTTGCCCTGGCACTTGTATGTACATATCTAGGAGATGAAGATACTTCAGGGATAAAAAACATACATAGCCAAGTGGCCAGTGTAGATTACTCGTGAATACAATCCTGACGGCAGCAGTAGAGTTCAACATGAGTGACATTACATCTCCTTATAAATGCCTACAATCTGATTCTGATCCTTAACGAAACCCATATCGTATCGCCATTTCAGTGGGGTTAAGGCCGGAAGCAGCCGAACACGCGTGTTAGCTAAGCAAAATAAGACACTAAACATGGTTCTCTCTCCTGCTGATCACAAAATCATGGCGTATTTAGGTTTGCCCTAGTGAGTAGTTCCTTGGCGCTGACGAGTCCAACCCGCCAAGCCACAGCGCTGATTCGAGGAACAGACCCAGCATTGTGGGCCATTCTTCAACATATATGCGAACATTGACGCAGAGAAGGGCAGCTAACTCGTCTTCACTGATCAAACTGGAATACGCGTATTCGGCTCTGTCCTCCCGTGATATGCTTCGTCGCAGCCACAAAAAGTCACGGGGAGGTTGCTTGCAATGGTGGGTCGCACGGAAGAGACTTGGACACCCCAGCTCCCCTGCGCTTACCCCTGTCCGCCCTGAGCATCTGCTAACCATGGTTAAATAGCAAGCGACGACATGTCAAGGTAATTCTCTCTAACTGTCCAACCCGCGCATGGCTAACCTCGAGTCTTTCCACATCATCATCAGTGCGATGAAGGTCGCCCCGTATGCCTCCTATGCACCATGTCCGGGCGGGATTGCAGCTTTGTATCCCAAGCCCCGGCGGAGAATCTCTCGACATTGGGTAATACATCTTCGCATGAGCGGTCCATAAGCCCAAGAGACAACCACAGCCATTTGGGCGTTGATCTACCCGATGTTACCCCCCCGACTACCGCCCCCCCGTCCCATCCTGAGCCACCAGAACGTCAAAGCATCAACAACTACCACCAAGACCCGACGCTTGACGATGCCGTCAACCTCAGCCACATGGAACTTCTCATCCACATGATCCTTGACAAGGGGATGTTCCCCCCAGGTGGTGTCACCGACTACGCGTCCACCATCTCGCTCGGCCTCAACATAGGTCTCAAGTCACCATATCTCCTACACCAGCTCCTCGCCTTCTCCGCCCGCCACCTAGCCTTCCTGCACCCCGACCGTTCGGCCTCCTACCTCCACCAAGCCGTGACCCTCCAGACGCGCGCCGTCTCGCTCTTCAACGCCGCCTGGACCGAGGTCGACCAGGCCAACTGCGTCGCCGTCCTCCTCTTCTCGTCCATCCTGGGCCACCACCTCCTCGCCGACACGCTCGCCAAGCGCGGCGGCGGCCTGCAGGCCTTCATGACACACTACATGCAGTGTCTGGAGATGCACAGGGGCATCTACACCGTCGCCAAGACGGCCTGGCCGCTGCTCATGGAGTCGGAGCTCGAGCCCATCCTGTCGTGGAGCGCGGGGTTTACCTCGCGACTGCCGAGGGGGAACCACTGCCGGAGGATTAGGGAGCTGGTGGATGGTGCGGAGGGATTGGGGGAGGAGGGTAGGGAGGCGTGTCGGCGGGCGATTCAGTACCTGCAGGTTGGGTTTGATGCGATGTTGGGGGGTGAGGAGGAGGAGGAGCAGGGGTACCGATACGAGATGATCTTCTCGTGGACAATGCTTGCACCGCCGGAGTTCACAGGGCTGTTGGCGGCTAAGAGGCCTGAAGCTTTGGTGTTGCTGGGGTACTATGCGTTGCTGCTGCATTATGGGAGGAGCATGTGGCAGGTTGGGGACGCGGGGGCGTATATATTGGGAATCATTGTTGAGTATCTTGGCCCAGAGTGGAATCATTGGCTTGAATATCCACGGCAAAGGGTGGCTGACGATCTCGAACCAAACACGAGAATCTCACATTGAGGGCAAGACCGAGGAATTAAAAGTTGTGGATGGAAGATCTGAAGGGCGAGACAGTGTTGAATGCGGATACGAATCCCCAAAAACAACACCTTGGCAGACTAAGGTTGTGCTTAGCAACTGAGAACGACTTTCATTTTCGTCGCGGGAGGCACAGCTGGAATGGCTGAGAGACCGAGAAGCATTGCCGCTGCCATGGTGACAAAGTTGTGAGTCTCGCATCGGCATACTCAACATCAACTGTGTCCACCGCTGCAACAGCCTCGCCCAGACCAAGTACAGCCAGAGCGGAGGCGAACCTGCGAGGGGCGCGCTCGGCATGGCGGACCCTGCGGCGCACGAACCGCCCAGCACGCCGGCACGCCCGACCTGCTCGCGCGCACGTATGTGGACGGGGAACCACTCGTTCTCCACCCCACCACGTGCCGGGCGGGATGCCGACCAGCTCGGCGATAACAACGCAGCGGTGCTCCTCATTGACGCGGAGGGTTTGAGCCTCTGGCGCCGCGTACTAGGTAGATCCTGGGGTAGGTGGCTGCTTGTCTGCGGATGAAGGCGGCGCGGCGTTCCAGGTCGTGGACAAGCTCGGCGATGACCCGTCGCCAAACCAAGGGCGTCGACATAGGCAGTTACAAAACAGAAGGCGGCGGCGAGAGTGCAGACGCTGCAGTCGTCCCAGTTGGCCTGCTTGACCAACAGCCTCGACGGTAAGGTCCACCCGCCCCAATCTCGGAACTCGCCAGGGGTGGGGACGACGGTCAAGCTGGGACACTGGAATTGGTAACGGTGTCTGGAAAGTGTCCTGTCACGCTATTTCGCAGCATAACTAAAGACATGAGTGATCCACTGGCGAAGAGAGCCGCATATCCAGTCATTGATGGCACGAAGAACGCTGACGATGGAATACAGCCCGAGCAGGAAGCCTGTATCGCCGATCACGATATGTCCGACGATATCCTAGGTACAGTTACTTGGCTTAGCATGGATGGGAGCGAGCAAGATTGAGATTGGCAAGAGCACCCACCACACGGCTTCCTCGGTCGCACGCGAAGAACAGCTGCCATTAGTGCTCGAGGGCAAGCAGGAGTGGAAGTGTAATCAACTTGGCCGGCTCAGCAACTTCCTCGTCGGCTCCCGCAGCAGCCGCACCCGCACCAACCGGCCGCCGCACGAAATCCTTCATCCATTCATGCCTGGCTGCCGTCCACACCCCCAGCTGCGTGCGCCCCTCCTCGGCCGAGCCCGTCGCCGCCTTCGTTTCGATGCTGGCAGCCACAGGCGCGTATATGAGAGGGGCATAACGAGTCGGGTTGACCGTCTGTTTCTCGATGGGCTGCGCACCTACAACTCTTCGAATGGAGGCCGACAGGGAGGCCATCGACTCCAGATTCGAGACGTCGTCGTCGGCGTCGGCGGGGTCCCAGACTTCAGACGCCGGCCCGGAAAACGACAAATCCAATGTGTAATCCACCATCTTGCTTATCCTGTCACCCGCTCGCCCGGGCAGCGCGAATGGCGCCGCGACGCGGGCCGTCGTGACGTTCTCGCAGAGGTTGTTCGCGCGGTGGCGGGAAAGCGCTAGCTTCAGCAGCGGCTTGTGTACATCCTCGTTCCAGCTCGGCTCCGAGCGCGCAAGGCAGAGACACTCCTTGGCTGCGCTCTCGATCTCGCCGAGAGCCTCGAGCTCGCGCGAGGCGGCCGTCATGCCAGTCGCTTCTCCTCCCAGCTGTGGCTTCTTGAACATTCACTCCCTCGGCGCCCGACCCAGAAGCTCGGTAATCTCGCCGCGCACTTCATGGGGAAGGATCTCGATGCGGTCGGAAGCAAAGTCGGCGATGGAATTGTAGAGGGCGTGGACGTCGCTTGGTAGCTGCGCGATGGCGTTGTCGGCAATGGGGATGAAGTGTATTGCCTTTTCGAGGCTCTGGAGACTGAGCGTGTTCTTTGTCGGGCTAGCAGACCGCCGTTGCTTAGACGTGTTGGTCGTGCTAGTCGCCGTGTCTGTGGAAGTCGATTGAATAGACGGAGAGGGAGGCGGGAATCACGGTGGGGTTTGGAAGTCGGTACGGGATAGAGCTTCGCGGCGTTCGATCAAGATCAACGTAGTCTTGAGTCCTATCCTGGTTCTGGACGGGGTTGGTGCTGTGGCCGACGACCCTGCGTCTCTTCGAAGGCGACCCGCTCTGCCGAAGACTAGGCGGTTCATCGGAAGACGGCGGCGTGGGCATGTCGCCGGGCCGGCCTAGAGGCGAGCTAAACGAACCAAAAAAGAGAGACGGACCCTCTTCCCAGCAGGCAGGTGGGGTATCAAGAAAATCGAGCCAATACTCGATAGTTTGCGCATAGGTCCTAATGGTTACCACAATTATTTCGAGATTGGCGAAAGTGATGACAGGACAATAATCTGGAGTGCAACGAGAGTGCGCTTGTTTTGGAGGGGAGGGTTTCTCGGAGAGGGTCACGTGGTTGCCAGAGTTGCCAGAGCGACAATAAAAAACGAGAAGGGAAAAAAGCTCTGCACCAAGCCAAAACAGGCTAAGTGTAGCGCATACGTATTTTATTTTATTTTATTTTTAACGCATTTCTTGGCAAGCTCTTGTCAGATTGTGTAGGAATTCTAACACGCAAGCATGTCTAAGATGCTGTAGATTGCCTTGAATTGCCTCTTGCTGCTGAGACAAATGCTCCTTAGTCATCAAAGACGGATATACTCATCGGTTTGACAAAGGAGATCCCGGCAGGAGAGTGACGATGCCAGCAACCTGGGAAGTAGGCAAGGTCTTATACAAAGGTTGTTTCCATGAACATTAACAGAGATTCGTGGCAACTCCTTGAATAAATTAAGTGGCTAGGGTATCATTTTGCCTCGTATCAACCTCCTTGTTCCTCAACCAGTCCTCCCAGCCGTGTACTTTGCCGCCTGCAAAGGCATCGTCGCCCCATGCATTATTCCAATGCATGATATCCTTCGCCAGAAACTTGTACACCGGGCCCGGAACCTTCTCAATTCCCTGGTCCTTGGCCCTAATTTTCAGGTCCCTCATGATGTCGCAAAGCATATTTATTCGTCCACCGGGCCGCGTCCTTTCCCGCCTCGTTGTTCCTTGGAGAAGATTAGGTTCTCCTTCTTGCCCTCTCCATAAACGTCCACGTAGTCCCTCATGAGGAAACAAGTGCGGTCAATCAACTCGACCGTGTCATTGGACCCAGCTCCAAGACCGTCACTCTCCCCTAACCCTGCAACGCGCGCCAGCACCTCCTCGAACGTCGACTTCATCCCCAGATTGTTCTGGTATAGTGTCCCACCCTCGCCCTTGGCGAGGAATCGCGTGCAGCTGTCGTCGCTCACGACCTTCAGCTGCAACCGGCGCTGATAAGCAAAGAACCAGCACGCCACCTTCGCCACATCGTCCGTCTCCCGCAGCCGCCGATTCACCCACTCGGCCGCATACAGCACCGATTCCTCGAGGCGGCAGACCCCGCGCCGCAGGCGCTCCGCTGGGTTCCAGAACCGGTACAACCGGTAGATGCGCGTCTGCACCCGGCGGAACATGCGCTTGGACAGCACGATGCTGCCGTCATCGGGTTCCACCTGCGGCCACTGGTACCCGAGGATCCCCTGGCGCGACTCGCCGCGCGCCGCGAGCTTGGCCTGATATCCGTCCAGGTACGCGGCGTGGTCGCCGGGCGGGTCGATGCCCGCCTCGCGGAACAGCCATGCCGGGATGTACAGGCACCTGTTGCGCGGGCGGACGCGCCGGATCCTGAGGAGCAGGCCGACGAGCTCGGCGTGGTTCTGCGGGCGGCTTGGGCCGAGCTTGGTCTCGCCGTCTACGCACGACTTCTTGCACCAGGCGTACACCTTTTCGGCGCAATGGGCAAGGGCCTCCATGGCGTGCTGGGAGTGGGTCTGGCGCCGGTTCCGCTGGTCCCATGGTCCGATCCACATGCAGCTCACGGCTAGCACGCCGGTGAGCTCCCTGAGTAGGAGCTCGGCGTCGTCGAGGCGGCCTGCGTTGACGAATGCCGAGACGACTGCGGCGGCGGCCTGCTCGAGGTCTAGGCGGGTTCGTGACTTGATCAGCTTGATGAGGAGGTAGATGTCCATGGTCCCGTTCCGGCAGGCATTGATGTTGTGGAGGAAGCGATCGATGTCGCCCTCCGTTCCGTTTAAATGACTTCTCTTGGGCGCGTTATTTTGACGGATGCATGCGATGGCAGTTTTAGTGATTGGGGTATGGGCTGAGGAGAACCAGTCTTGGTCCGCGAAGTCTAGGTCCGCGTATTCTTCCAAGGAGTTTTGAAACCTCTCGCTGGGTGACATGACATGGGGAAGACGAACGGTTGCCGAAGACGGGAGTTCAGAATATGAACGGGAAATGTCCGGAAAGTATCGAATTGCAGGAAATCCCGCATCCAGGACCATGCCCACGTCTGTCTGAAGAGTGTACGGTAGCTGGATCTTTTGCGCCATTTCTCGGAGTGATGTCTGTGGTTGACCGAGACGTTCGACCGCGGCAATTGTTTCCGGTATAATGGAGGGCCGAGGAAGAGAGGGTTCTGTTGGAGACACGAAAGAGTAAATAATTATAGTGCAAGAGAGTTGTCGATCCGGCATTGAGTCATCAGACTGCGCCACCATTTTGGGCCTGTTGGCCCAACATCAAGGCCCATCGCAACCCCTGCCGCCGAATGACTCCTCCGCCGTGATCTATGCAACCCCTGAACATTTGGCCAATGGAAACACACGGCTGAGTTTAGGCAACACCTCCTCCCTGATATCAGCATGACTCTCACTGTTGATTGAATCAAGAGTCAAAAACTGAAGCTATCCACAAGACTAAAATCGATATACTGGTCGACTCCGAAATGGCCACCATGGACCGTGACATGGAGTCTTTTGCCCACGCACTGTAGTAGTACTTACGTTCTCGTCGTATGATGGTTCGCCGAGCTTCATGTCATCGCTTGTATGCACAGCACCAAGACACCAAATCTGCTCGAAATGGACTGTCCAGTGAGTTTGTCGGCAGTATCATTGAGAACAAGGTAGCCAATGGTCTAGACGCCCCCGGGAAATGTCTTGATATCAATCCCTCTCCGCAGATGACGGGAGGTTTGGGCGTGCTTTGAGGCAGTGGAGGCTGTCTATGATGAAGCATTAAAGACTGGCAGGTGATTCTGTAAGGATGGAATCAATGGGCAATCAGTCGTAAAGAAGGGGGACGTGGACGGTTCGCAGAGAGTTGCCTCACCATCCCCTGGTGTCGCAAGTGGTTCTCTTTGAGAAAAATGTAGAAGCCGATATCAAAAGAAATGTGCGATTGATCAACGTCGAGACCATATGAGTGTTACAGCTATCGTCGACACTTGTTCGGCGCGCTTGTTTCGAAGTTCGAGGGAGAAAACAGAAGAAAAGATGCATGATTCCACGTGGTCAGTGTGCACGTGCTACCCACTTTTGCCCTTTTCCAATACCTGCATGTCAAAAAGGCAAAGTTAGTCAGCTGGAATCATCAGTGCCACAAGAATTTGCACGTGAAAGTTAGATGTGGATGGAAGCTGATCTGACTGGGTCCTTGAAATCGACGGATTCACAATGATCTGCTAAATAATATTAGCCCTGAGCCGGAAGCATATCAGGAATTTATGACGTACGTTTCCGGTGGTATTGCGCTCGCTATTCCTAGTCTGTCACCTGGACTAAGCAACAATCGGAATAGCAGACCTTTAGTTAGCAACAAGCGGCATGTCTCAGGAGGTGTGGGCCTCGACTAATAGCTAGCCAGAATGGTTGGTGTACATATTTATGACTGTATGACTGGAATGTCTCACTGTCGATCGCAGTACTCCGTACCAATGGCTAAGACACTCCATATAAACATGGGGCCGAGAGATCGCACTTTGTTCCTCGCTCTCTACCTCGACATTTGCCATTCCCCAGTGCAACAGACCCCACGGGATGGCGACTGTTTGACTACGTCTTGGGCCGTATGAAATCTCCTCAAAAAGATGACGAACTTCTCCCCTGCAGCAATGCCTAATCCAATGGCAGGAGACACGAACAGTGACGTCATTGCCGCATCCCCATCTCACGATGCCGGGGAACTGCATGGCATCCTCAATCCCCAAGCCCATGGAGCTGAATCTCCTGTCGATTCAGACGACCGGCAAAGAAATCATGAGCACGAGGACAGCGGCGAGGATGGAGACAGCCTATCTTCAGATGAGGCGGAGACAATGGGAAGAAGCGAGCGGCCGGGGCTGCGCCGGCGTCGAGACTCGTCTGCCATGATCGAAAATGAAGACAGAACAGAGCTTATGCGAATAGCCACGGCTCTCTCGCGAAGACAATCCGCCGCCACTGCCGGTCCCAGCCGCATGCATACCCTTGCCGCCGTCGACGAGAACAATCCGGCCTTGGACCCACAAAGTGCTCAGTTCGACATCTCCAAATGGCTTCAGAACTTCGTCCGAACCCTGCGAGAGGAGGGTGTTACTGCCAAGCAGACGGGAGTTGTGTACAAAAATCTGAGTGTCTTTGGTTCCGGGTCTGCGTTACAAGTTCAAGGCACTGTTGCCTCTTGGCTGCTGGCACCGCTCCGTCTCGGCGAGGTCTTCAGCTTCGGCAAGAGAGAGCCCAAGCAGATTCTCCGCAGTTTTGACGGCTTGATCAAACGTGGAGAGCTTCTCGTAGTTCTGGGACGGCCAGGGTCTGGATGCAGCACGCTTCTGAAGACCATCTGCGGAGAATTGCACGGTCTGACCGTCGGCAAGGACTCGACCGTTCATTACGATGGAATCTCACAGGCGCAGATGAAGAAGGAGTTTAAGGGCGAGGCCATCTACAACCAGGAGGTAAATTCCGTGCATCTTGTGTCTATCCGTGTTCCTGACCAGGAGGGCTGACCCGTCGTGTCCAGGTTGACAAGCATTTCCCTCACCTCACGGTCGGCGAGACACTGGAGTTCGCCGCCTCGGTCCGCACGCCATCTCAGCGCATCCACGACATGTCACGCCGCGAATATTGCCAATACATTGCCCAGGTTGTCATGGCTGTATTTGGCCTAAGCCACACCTACAACACCAAGGTTGGCAACGACTTTGTGCGAGGAGTTTCGGGAGGAGAGAGGAAGCGCGTTAGTATTGCTGAGATGGTGCTGTCTGGTTCTCCGTTCTCTGCGTGGGACAACAGGTGGGGCCTCACTCCTCTCCCATTCCCTAATATTATGGAGGATATTATGCTAACGGTGCGTAGTACTCGCGGCCTGGATTCTGCTACTGCCTTCAAATTTGTGCAATCTTTGCGGATGGCTTCAGACATGGGCGGTCAAGCCAATGCAGTGGCCATCTACCAAGCCAGCCAGGCCATCTACGACCTGTTCGACAAAGCCGTGGTGCTGTATGAAGGTCGGCAGATCTACTTCGGGCCGGCGGGTGCAGCGAAGAGCTACTTTGAGAGACAGGGATGGTATTGCCCTCCTCGGCAGACAACTGGCGACTTCCTCACGTCCGTCACCAATCCCGGGGAGCGGAAGCCGCGCCAGGGAATGGAAAACAGGATCCCGCGGACGCCTGAGGACTTCGAGCGATGCTGGCGCGAGTCTCCGGAGTATGCGGCACTGGAGAGCGAGATCGACAGCTACGAGCGACTAACCCTTGTCGAGCACAGGGGCGAGGCGATTGCTCAGCTTCGACAGCAGAAGAATTACCGGCAGTCCAAGCATGTTCCATCAAAATCCCCATATACCATCAGCGTGTGGATGCAAGTCAGGCTCAACACCAAGCGAGCGTACCAACGCATCTGGAACGACATCTCTGCCACTCTAACGTCTTGCCTCGTGCAGGTCGTCATGGCCCTCATTATTGGATCCATCTTCTTTGGCACTCCAGATGCCACCGTGGGCTTCTTTGCCAGGGGCTCGGTGCTATTCATAGCCGTCCTTCTCAACGCCCTGACCGCCATCTCCGAGATTAGCAGCCTGTACGCCCAGCGGCCGATTGTCGAAAAGCATGCTTCCTACGCTTTCTACCATCCCGCCACGGAATCAGCAGCGGGAATTGTCGCCGACATACCGATCAAGTTTGTGACCTCGGCCATCTTCAACATCGTGCTTTACTTCATGGCGGGACTGCGGCGAGAGCCATCGCAGTTCTTCATCTACTTCCTCATCACGTACATCTCCACCTTCATCATGAGTGCTGTATTCCGGACCGTGGCGGCAACTACGAAGACCGTTTCGCAAGCGATGGCCGTGGCAGGCGTGGTGGTGCTGGCCCTCGTCATCTACACGGGATTCACCATCACGGTGCCGCAGATGCATCCGTGGTTCAGTTGGATCCGTTGGATCAACCCCATCTACTACGCTTTCGAGATCTTGGTTGCCAACGAGTTCCACGGGCGCCAATTCACTTGCTCCTCAATTATTCCTCCTTTCACGCCCTTGGTTGGGAACTCTTGGATTTGCTCCGTTGCAGGTGCCGTCGCCGGCCAACGAACCGTCAGCGGTGATGCCTTCATCGCGGCTAACTATGAGTATTACTACTCGCACGTGTGGCGCAACTTTGGCATTCTCATCGGATTCCTCATCGGGTTCATGGCCGTATATTTCGTGGTGACGGAGCTCAACTCTTCCACGGCAAGCACTGCAGAGGCGCTCGTCTTCCAGCGCGGACACATTCCAGCCTACCTGCAGAACGGAGGCAAGAAGCCTGCCATGGACGAGGAAGTGGTTGCAGACAACAAGAAGACCAATGGTGATTCGGGTGCTGGAGATGTCGAGGCGATCGAGGCGCAGAAAGACATCTTCACGTGGCGGAACGTTGACTACGACATCACCATTAAGGACGGGCATCGGCGGTTGCTGGACAATGTGTCCGGATGGGTTAAACCAGGAACTCTGACAGCACTCATGGGCGTTAGCGGCGCGGGTAAGACGACGCTCCTTGACGTGCTTGCACAGCGGACCACCATGGGTGTCATCACTGGCGACATGCTCGTCAATGGGAAGCCTCTGGAGCCTAGCTTTCAGCGCAAGACTGGATATGTTCAACAGCAAGGTATGTTATGTGATTCATTTCTTTGGTTCCCATTCTAATACCAGCAGACTTGCACCTGGAGACAGCTACAGTGCGCGAAAGCCTTCGTTTCAGTGCTATACTACGCCAACCAAAGACGGTCAGCAAAGCGGAGAAGTACGAGTTTGTCGAAGAAGTCATCAAAATGCTGAACATGGAGGACTTCGCCAACGCCGTCGTTGGCGTGCCCGGCGAGGGCCTGAATGTGGAACAGCGAAAGCTTCTCACGATCGGCGTGGAACTGGCAGCCAAGCCCAAGCTCCTCCTCTTCCTCGACGAACCGACTAGTGGCCTCGATTCTCAAAGCTCCTGGGCCATCTGCATCTTCCTCCGCAAACTCGCAAATGCTGGCCAGGCGATCCTCTGCACTGTCCACCAGCCCAGCGCCATCCTCTTCCAGGAGTTTGACCGACTGCTCTTTCTAGCCAAGGGCGGGAAGACGGTCTATTTCGGACAGATTGGAAGTAACTCGCAGACCTTGCTCGACTACTTCGAGGCCAATGGGGCTCGCAGATGCGGTGACGAAGAGAACCCTGCCGAGTATATGCTCGAGGTCGTGAACAACGGCGTCAACGATGCGGGACAAGACTGGCATTCCGTCTGGAAGGATAGCAGCGAGCATCAGGCAGTTCAGGTCGAGATTGACAGGATACATGCCGAGAAGCAGCAGGAACCGGTGGCCGGAGACGCCGCCAGTTCCGACGCCGAGTTCGCCATGCCGTTTACGGCTCAGCTGCAGGCCGTCACCTACCGAGTGTTCCAGCAGTACTGGAGAATGCCCAGCTACGTGTTTGCCAAGTTCGTCCTCGGCATTGCCGCCGGCCTGTTTATTGGTTTCACCTTCTTCAACGCCGATAGCAGCCAAGCCGGGATGCAGAGTGTCATCTTCGCTGTCTTTATGATCACGGCCATCTTCTCCACCCTTGTTCAACAGGTAATTATTTGCCTCCCTAGACTCCTTCCCAACGTCTAATAACCATGCTGACTCTATTTGCCTAGATCCAACCACTATTTGTGACGCAGCGGTCGCTTTACGAGGTGCGCGAGCGTCCCAGCAAGGCGTACTCGTGGAAGGCCTTCATCATCGCCAACGTCATCGTCGAGATCCCGTACCAGGTGATCACGGGCGTGCTCATCTACGCCTGCTTCTACTACCCCGTGATTGGCATCCAGAGCTCCCAACGCCAGGGCCTGGTCCTCCTCTTCATCATCCAGCTGTTCATCTACGCCAGCGCCTTCGCCCAGATGACCATCGCCGCACTCCCAGACGCCCAGACGGCAGCCGCAATCGTCACTCTGCTCTCCCTGATGAGCACCATCTTCTGCGGCGTCCTGCAGTCGCCCGACGCCCTGCCGGGGTTCTGGATATTCATGTACCGCGTCTCGCCCTTCACGTACTGGGTCGGCGGCATCGTGGCGACGCAGCTGCACGGGCGCCGCGTGGTCTGCTCTGCCAGCGAGACATCCATCTTCGATCCGCCGCCCGGCCAGACATGCCAACAGTACCTGGCGCCTTTCTTGCGACAGGCCCCGGGGCAGCTGCAGAACCCGAGCGACACGGCGAACTGTCGGTACTGCGTCTTCAGCAACGCAGATCAGTTCTTGGCGGGCTCGAATATCTTCTGGAGTGAGCGTTGGCGGAACTACGGCATCATGTGGGCTTACGTTGTTTTCAACATCTTCATGGCTACCTTGTTGTACTACCTGTTCCGCGTCAGATCATGGCGTGTCAAGTGGCCATCCATAGGCAGAAAAGGGAAGAAGAAGGGGGGAGAAAAGGAGACACCCGATGAGGCGATGAACGGGAGCTCGAAACACAACTGATATGGAAATAGCGAAAGGAGGTGGCATGCATGCTGCATCAAGCCAGGGGAATCCGTAGAGGCATCGCTAAGCAACTTCTACTGAGCACTTCGATGTGGTCGAGGGCAGACTACTACGGGCATTGTCAGAGCATCGATGAAGTATGTATGTACACAGGGAGCAAGAGGCGCCTGGCGAGTAATTATCGCTCCACCTTGCTTTCCCTTCTAAATCAAGCCCCCATCATACGCGCTTCTTATCCACTACCATGCCCGCACCTCCCCCCTCCTCCGTCAAGCCGCCGAACACGCCCAGCACCGTGAGCCACCGGAAGACATTGAGGAAGGCACTCGCGCCGACACTCCCCCAAACGGCGTCGTTCCACCCGCGCACGTCGCAGAAGGCATCCCGCCCCATCCCGGCGTACGTGCCGTAGATGTGTCCGTAGTCGGCGAGCGCCACGGCGACTAGATACCACCTCGACGTGGCGGGGCGGGGCGTCCAGCAGCAGACGACGGCCAGGGCGGCGACCAGGAGGAGGACGTTGCCCATCTGGAGGGTCAGGACTAGGGCTTGGGGCTGGAGGTCGGACGGCTCGACGGGGCTGTGGGGAACCTGCATCGTGTAGAAGCGGTGGGGGTCGAGGATGGAGATGATGTAGGCCCAGACTCTGGGAGTACGGTGTGCGTTAGCAACGTGGGCGGTACGGGGTGGGTCTCACTAACAATAGCAGGGGTTCGATGATTCCGAAGAGGATCAACGGCCAAGTGGGAAGGGTGGACCACGCCATTGTGGAGCTGCTTGGAGTCGAGGCTGGCTCCATGCTTGGTTTGCAAGAAAAGGGCAGACGAACGAGAAAATTGGCGCGGACCTGTCACATGAATGATCACATGACCTTTCCCTACCCCTCCAAGCGGTGTTATTAAAAAGTGGTGCATGGGCTACACCACTTACTAATAGTAATAAAATATTCACTAACAAATTTTAGTGGTTTGGCCTCAGTCAGGCGTTAAGGAGTAACGCGGGCTAGTTAGTAAGAGGTGTACCACGTGCACCCACTTTTTGATAACACCGCTTGCCCTCCTACCCCAAAGCCGCCTCGGTCAACTCACCGCGCCTGACCGCGCCTGTATTTGGGTGATACTGGTATCATTTCTACTTGGGGATAAGCACTGCACAGCGGTATGACTTGTACTAGTGCAGTACAGAACAGAACATACGAGTATGGTGTAATTTTCGATGCTGTGCAGGCGCTGAGCGCCTCTGTTGTTTCACCTGAACCCCTGTGTGCCGATGGGGTTTCAGGCCCGCATCATTCCCGATGCAAAGCTCCTGGCAGCATAGACGAGCCGGGTGGCTTGGACCTTCGGAGGTCTCGGCGTCCACTAAAATCATCGCGTAACCCTGACGATCTCGGACGCTCTGTCCTCTAGCCCCGCCTAACAAGTCAATCAAACATGATCGACACCTTCGGCTTTAAATTCTGGCGTGGCTGCCTTAGACTTCCTCGGGAAGGGCAGTTATTCTGACGTCGAGTCTAGGATTCTTGGGACCTGCCAAGGTATGCGCCACTGGCAAGCCCCTTCCCCAGATTTCCCATCTTGGTGGTTGTTCTTTCTTGCTTCAACAAAAATTCGATTCGATACTAAGACCCTGAAAAAGCTGGACTTTGACGGTGCAATTATCACTCATTCTTTGCAATTTTTCATCCCCAGCCCGGGTTTGGCAAATGTTAATATGGCGGGTCTTTTGAATGGATTAGCGGGCGGTGTTGGAGATGTTCTTGGGGGCCTGGTGACGCCCGTGGTCGGCGGCCTGCTCGGGGGAGTAGCCGAGGAGACAACTTCATCGGAATCGTTGTTGGAACCAGTGGCGACCGAGGCACCAACGACGAGTATAACGAGCCCTCCTCCTCCTCCTCCTCCGCCGCCAGCGGCCACGACGTTCCCGGCTGATGCGCCATCGACAACTCTACTCGCAGCGCTTGCACCAGGAGAATCACCAGGCCCGCTCCTGTCGCTGTCTCTCCGGCCGCTTCTTCCCATATCACTCTCGCCCCCTCAGTTGCTTAACCCAGGTGTGGCGCCCACGATATTGAGTTCATTGCTCGGCGCTCCACCACCACCACCACCACCACCCGCTGAGGCCATTCCGACGACATCCGAGCCCGTCGCAGCTGCGGGGCCGCCTTCTGCTGCGGAAGCGACTTCGACGTCTCAGCCGGGTGTGATCCTGGTTTCCTTGCCCACCCCACCATCCTCGTCCCGGCAATCTTCGACATCTCTCCTCGACGCCATTGTTTCGTCCATCACGACCCCCTCAGAGGCACCCTCAGAGGCCCCCGCAGTTGCCACAGGCGAGCCCGAGCCCACACCCGTCACTTCCGATATCACCGAGACAGTAGTGCCGGTCAATACAGGGACAGCCGTCGACGTCAACACGCCGGCTGGCGCTTCCAGTTCCAACAGCGTGGAGGCCTCGGCGCCTGCCTCGAAGGTCAATCTCATGGCCGTGGCCATCACCGTGCCAGTCGTTGCCGTCGCGCTGATCGGCATCGGTCTCTTCCTGTGGCGGAAGAACAGGGGAGGATTCAGACGCCGGGACAGCGCGATGCTGGATGACTCGGAGATCGAGTCGTGGAAGAAGTCGCAGAACGACGACAAGTTCGACCCCGCCAGGAACTACTGAGGGACTCGGTCACCAGGAAGACTATCCGACGACAGTAACGTGTAAGGAAAGGTTCTGGGCTTGACTGCTGGGAAGGGCGTCTGAGACGTCTTTTGGGAAGCATGCATGCCTCATAATGATAGGGGGTTGGGTTTTTTGAGGGTGTTTCTCGGGGAAGGGAGAGCGGGTTTTCAACATTTGACCTGGGCGTTTTGGCTGTATGTTTTCGGGGTTTTCTTCTTCAATGGCCTCCGCACTCAGAGACAGGACCAGATAATTACCACTCTCAATTAATCCACTGGATTTACTGGGTGCTGTACCGCCGAATTCATCAGCGCTTTCCATACTTTGTTGTGCATCCTGCTCGATGCCCGATGTACCTAGGAGTCACTCTGGGGCACGGCAGGAATGAGGACATGTCGAGCCACAGCGACAGCACATTGTTGGTCAGCTTGTCTGTGTTCACTTGTTGCGTAGACTTTGGATGTTCTGTATCGCAACGGCGCCGAGAAGACGATCTACATTGCATCGGCACTGTCATTCGAGGTCGGCACCCACAATGAAGAGGTTCCGAGGCTATAACCCGCGCGAAAGTCGCTATGATCCAGGCCGGTAGCTTGCTGCATACCCCAGTGTTGTGTCCCTTGCCGGTTTGGAAGGCGAACTCGCACAAGTTGGCAACAGGGTTGCCCACGCGGAACCACTAAGCGTCACGTAGGCGCGGGCATTGGCATTAACCATGTTCATATATAAATGGCAGGGATACAAGGCAGTCAGACAGGTCCCCGCCATCGTCGGGAAGGATGGCCTAAAGGAGGTGTGACGAGTGCAGGGCTAAATGGGCTGAGTAAGCCAGGAGTCGCATCGTGCATGACAGTGTCGTATTCTAGAATAGTATTGCAGCTCGCCAATCATTTCTTGCAGCCGCGGGTCTCGGCGAATCTGTCTCCAAGGCCTTGTCCAGTGATCAAGCAGCAGCAAATACGGATATCGTCAAGTGTATCCAGGACACTACGCAGCGTCAGGTGGTGCAAGGCACTTTACGATGCGTCACTTCAGACATGATGGTGAAGTTGAACGAGACACGATGATAGCTGCATGGCAGCTGTTTTATGACATTCTCTCCCTGCATTGCGACCCCCCCTTATATTTGTCTGTGGCAAAATGTGACATACAGGGTGCTCGCGTGATTCATCACGTGGGGCATTGAACTGAGACTCCCAAAACTGTGGTCTTTAAGTCCGAATTTGGACGCCGAAACAACACAAGCCAATACCGCCTTGCTAGCTCAATCGGTAGAGCGTGAGACTCTTAATCTCAAGGTTGTGGGTTCGACCCCCACGTAGGGCTCAATTCCCTGCGGTGCACCAGCTTTAGAGCTGGCTTTCTTTTTTTGCTTTTTTTCTCCCTCTTCTCGTCTAATTTTTATATATCTTTTAAGTTTTCACCTATGTACTCTGATGTTAGTACTACTGTTTGTAATACTGTACTGAATAACCAACGTGCTAAAAGGCGTATTACCAAGATTCCTTTGGACATTAGTGCTGATGAGAGCTGACGAAATTACCTCGCCTTGACTAATATCCAAATGATGGTTTATTTAATGTGCTACTGATATCTTCTGTCATTTCATACTCACCATCCTACAAACATTCTCACTGAAGTTTACTAGACCGAGATAGCCGGTCATGAAGCGAGTCCTTTTCTTCACCAACAGCGACTATGTCTAGGCCAATGTCCTGCTCGCTACTGCCCATGCTTTAGTTCACATTGCACCCGACGTCGAGATTCATATTGCGTCTTTCTATGGATTACAAGCCGCTGTCCGCGAGACTTCTGATTTTGCCCTTGGCACCGCGCCAGAAGGGTCGACTGCAAAACCCTTGGCTTTCCATGGCATGGAAGGCATCAGCTGGGACCAGCATCTTTTCGGTGGATTCCTGCGGATATTACCCTTGTTATTACAGGGCGGCGAGGACTACGGCTTTGCCTGATCACTGAACCACAGACCGGTCAATCAAATGCACCGATTAACACTACGCTTGAATAGGAGGCACCGTGATGAAAGATAATCTAGTTGAGGGGTCGACGAGTGCTGGCTCACGAAACATTATCCAATGGGCAGCCTGCTCCTCAACCTACACCCACCACAACCATATAGCTAACCTACAAGCAACAAGCAACTGGGCAACCACAACAGGGCTGACCTGTGACAACTGCGAATCCAAGATCTGCTCTCCAAAGGGAACCTCCTCCTCCTTACATGGCCATGCCTTCCATGCCTTGGCCGGGGATCTCGGACAACCCTTCAAAAACAAAGGTTAGCCACGGGAACGCGTCATTAATCAGGAACGGGGATATGACTTACAGCCGTCGATATTCTCCTTGACCATGAGAGGAACGGTGCACTTGTTCTGCTGGGCGATACTCTGGGTCTTGAGCGTCGGAGCGCTGACGTAGGTATGAGCATCCATAGCCTTCTGGAGAGAGTTATCCTTCCAGCCGAACAGGTAATCGGCGTGGGTGGAATAGCCCGTCGTGTCGCCGCTGGACCAGAGGAACGGCTGGCTGCCGTCCTCCGGCCAATCGGCCTTGTTGTTGAAAGCGGAGGTATCCCATACGGTCTCCAGCATTAGCTGCGGGATCTTGACGGGGTGCGTGGCGGGGCAGGGGCCGCCGGACTCAAAGGTGCCGGATTCCGGGTATGCGACGTGGTCTTGATGGTTGGGCGAGTCCAGGTGGACGCCGTCCCAGCAGGTCGGGAAGCGATGGGTGGCCATGATCCCAGTTTTGCAAGTACCCGTGGGGAAGTCTAGAGTCTCGGGATTACGGGTGGCCTGGGATGCCATGCACGTATAGGTCAGCTGCCGGAAACTTCTGGCTTGGTCGCGGGTCCGGAAATCGTTGTTGCCAACAAGCATGCGGAAGCCGGGCTTGAAAGCCGTGACTGTTGATTTCTGTGCAGTGTCGAAGAGGGCGTCGCTCATGTAATAGACGACCTGGGAGTTCGAGTTAGACAGCTGGTATGCCAAGTCTCGTGCAACAGAAGTGCCTCACCATGCCGCCATTGGTACTCTCCATGCCCGCTTGCGGAATTTGCGGGACCCTGTGGTAAGAGCCATTCCTAGCACGGAAGAAGAGAACAGCGGTCCAGTAGTTGGAGAAGTCTTCAGAGAACTGGCAGGTCGTGCAAGTAGAAAGCGCCGGGAGATCGTGTGTGGCGGGATCCATCGACACGTTGAACGAGTCCTATTAGCCGTCAGCTATGAGCCTCATCTGGAAGCCACAAGGACCTGGGGTATAATTACGCCTCCGATGATCTGATGAAGATGGGGCGACGGGGACACGCCTGGGTTAACCAAGGGATCTATACGCTGGGTTGTCAGACTGGCGCAGCCGAATCGAAGCAGTGCGCTGGTGGGCGCGAACAGCCCGAAGGCGGCGGCGAATGTATTGCACTTCATCACGATTTCTGGATATCGGTTCGACGATGGTGGCCAGCGATGGAAGGAAAACGGGGAGTGGAGGGGACAGGCGGTGGTTATGACCCCCCCCCCTTTGATCACGGTGATTATCTGGCTATGACCAACTGCCGGGCAGTGATAGCAAAACAAGACTGAACCTTGGTCTCGACACCTAATAATTACCGTTCAATAATATAGCAGCATGTTTCTCGTAGCTAATATAGGTTTGTTTTGATTGCGGTTAATATTGACGAGGGCCAATAGTAGGGGAACTCCCATGATGAATAATTATTGGGGATAATAACAACCGGACACACCGGTCTGATTCCACTCTCTAATCTTTGCTAACAACAGCCAAGCCTGTCCATCAGAGGAGGTCCATCACCGGCACCTCTGACTTCGACGCCGCTCTAGCCCCATCATCGCCTAACTTTGGGAGGTGTCAATGCGGCCGAGTATTTACATTCTTCGTCAAGACGACCAAGAACTTAAGTACTATTGAGTGGGTAAAGGTCGGATCCTCTCCACCCGGGGAATTTATCACTCTCCACCCACCCCCAACTGCTGCCTGTAATTAATCTATATTTGGCTTAACTGCCGCCTCCAAAGCGTATTCTGCAGCCAGCGGCATCGCTTAGAAACAAGGGACGGAAAGGGAAGCTCGGTGCGTCTCGCCTCCAAGCAATTAAGCTCAGGCTTGCATTGACAACTACCAAGACCGCAGTGATTGGTCCCGGTTTCCCACCTCTGCCGGCCGCCCCCGCACTATAGCCTTTAGACGGGAAAAGGATTGCTTCCAGCGAATAGAGGTAACTATACTATTAAGTTTCCGTATAGTAAGGAAACATACATTTAATTAATACTGACGGTGTCGCCTAATATCGAATGCACCCCGAGGGCCAGACATATCGTCAACCAATAGGGTATATCTGATCTCATGTCGTCCAAATACCTACATAGTGCCGGCCCTGAATCTGTTGGCCGACATCCTTCTCTTGCGCTGACTTTTTCCCACTCCTCTGAAGACCCCCCTTGGTGGAATACCGCCTCTCCCCTGCCCTCACGATGATGAAGCTTTCACTCACGCTCATCGCCTTCTGGCTCGCCATGGCCCTTGGCCAAACGACGACGGTATGCACTGCAGACCTCGCAAGCACTGACGACTGTGCCGACGTCATCAACCCCATCGCCTGCTACAACCAATTCGGGTTTTCGGGCACGCGGACGCTGGCGTGTATCGACGGGAAGAACGATGCCGAAAGGTCTAGGAAGGCACGACGTGTCCCATCGCAAGTGAGAGGCCGGACCCTGCTAACCTCGTGGTGTAGGCGTGCCATTGCTGCAGCTGTGTGGGCACCCGAATGTGCACCTGGGTCACTCAGAATAACATCTGTAACGGGGTTAGTTAGTGGATGAGTGGCAGCGACCTCCCCAGCCGACAAGGGGAAAGAGAAGCATGTTACCAAAGAAGGGGCTAGCTTCTATGCTTGGGGGAGGCGAACTCGAGGTCCTTGAAGATCTTTGGTGTTTAGGGAGGGGGCTCTCAACGCGGCGGATTTGTACGCATGCTTGTCAAGATGCATGTACTGTACCTATAGACAAGCATCAGAGGCCGCAGTGGCTGCCAAATCAAATGAATTGTAGCGTGCATGGGAATGGCTTGTGCTAATTAGGAGCAGAGTAATTATCCCTGGAATCTCGAAGATCTGACATTGCACGAAGTCTTTTTGAGGAGAATGGTTATCAAATAAAGAAGATCTTCCATGTTCTGCCAATGACCGGCACTTGCAATTGAGTTATTATCAGCAGCAACACGGCTCATGATGTTATTGCGATGGTGATCGATCCTCAGGGGAGGTAAGCCTCATGCAAGCTGCAGGGACCCCTCAGGCTAATGTAGTAATCCCTTGGGTAGATGGCCTTGGCGCTTTCATTCCCGCTATCGAGGAAAGTGTTGGGTGCAAATATCTAGGTGTGGCACGTCATCACTATAGCAGAGAACGCTCATACCAAGCAAGGTATGTGGGATCCTATCGCTGATCGCGTAGAAGGCGTAAAACTTGGTATTTGAGTCCGTCAACAGTGAGGTCCTCCAGATGCACAGCCCATGTTCCATCTGACTCCTCGCTCTCGACCTGGACCGGCCACTCCGCAATGTTGAGCCGCTCTATGGTTGCGTGGAGACAGGATCGGCGCGAGTCGACGACACGTAGGTCCTGGAGCCTGTCAAATCAGGCTTTGGACGTCTTGGATCAAGTCGCAAAATCTCATTCGGTCATTGATGACCCAAAGCGTCTTCTAGAGAACATCCTGCTGCGACTGCATCATTCCTTTGCCTGTTTTTGAGCTTCGGATTCGAAAGTTGCCAACGGCCGTGGCGAATGTCCGACTACTATGGTTCTGGTGGACCGATGGGCTTCATTGCCGACTCAGGGTTAATACCTTACGAATTGCGAGGTTTCACCCGTGAGCAGAGTAGAAGTCACAATTTTCCTTCGGCACGCGTTGGATGGCAACACAAGGAACATATTTGGGAGATGGACGTTGTGGGTTAGGTGTGAGGCGTGACTCCTGGGTGGCTCGAGCAAGATATGAAGTGTGCAGGTCAAATCTTTATGATAGGCTAACCTTGCGTCTGATAATTAGAACGCTGCTTCCTTTGCTTCTCCAAAATGCGAGAACAAGTTCGCGCGGGACTACGATTATTTGGCTGCTTACATCTATCAAGACACAAGCCAAGCCCATCTCAGAGCGTTGCCTCATCCGGCAAATTGTTCCTCCACTTCATCGTCGCGTGCTCGTTCGCCCATTCCAGCAATGCATCGTAATCCGTGCACTCATGCTTCGAGCCCCAGCCCGGGCCAAGCTCGGTATCCCCCTCTAGAGTCGTGTCTGCAGCACACATGATGGACTGACGGAGGTAGTCGAAGCAGTGGGCTGAGTGATGGGCGACTTCTTCTGTCAACTCGACACCGGCAAATCCGGTTTGGAAGTGTCGTACGATGTAGGACTGGCAAGACTAGTCAGGAGAAAGCTCTTGGCTAATTCGCCTACCACACTTGGGAATGGACGAGACATACTAGGCAGTGAAGTTGGTGGTAAACAGACATCATGTAGCCTGGCCCATCGGAGGTACGATTCACTGGCGTGATGTACGGTTTTGGCAGATCATAAGAAGCTGCATCGTGAAACTGGACATATCCCCTGCTGGCTGAGCGAGACACCATCCCGTCAGCCTCATTTGTCGATCGTGGCTAAAGAGCTCGCTCACTTACCCGAGCTTAACTCGATCCAGTTGTGGAGCGTATGAAGAGTGTCCTTCTCGTCAAAGAACATGTCCCCGTGCATGTACTTTGGATCCTCAGCGAACGTGTACACCTTTCGGGGAACTTTTGCGTTTTGCGTTGCCTTGTTAGCAACTGAATCAGGCTTCCCGGGTCACTGGAGGAAAACATACGCCTTGGTACCGGAGATGGCTTGGACGTGCCCTTGTTGAGCACTAGCGGACGGATCAGAAGGACAGCTATGGTGATTGCCATCAGGGCCTCCACAATCCATCGCAAATGCGACGTCGCCTTTTGCGGACTCCCCGTCGTGGACTGAGAGATATCATGGTTGATTCCAGATTGTCCAAGAAACGCCTGCTGCTCCTCATCCTCTTCACCTTTGCTGCGGTCCATGGCGAGCTGCGGCTCAGGGCCACTGGAAACGAAAGAATTAATTCTAGAGAGCAAAGCGTGGAAGCTTTGACTAGAGAGCGGATAGGGAAAAGACGGCTTGGGTTGCATTGCCCGCTCTTTAGGCTGTACAGGATAAATTAATGGGAGAAAATGGTTGGCTGGATTCCCTCCGAGACTCTCCACCTACCGCAGCGAGGTCCCATCGAATAGAGCATAACTACACGTGTACAGCGGTAGGTCTTGAGTTCATCATAGAGCACTCTCGGGCCTTCAAAAGCGGGCGGGGAGCCGCCGCTACTCTCTCCGCTTTCTCGTGCTCGGAAAATGGTGCTAGCCGGGTGCAAATCTCGGGATGATGCGCCGGCCCCAAGACGGCGGCCGCTCACGTGGCTAGAATGTGGCTGGTGGGAGGGACCACGTGCTGCATATTGTTTGGGGAAGAAGTCGGAAGGAAGAGCACCGAAAGCATTGGAGCCAGATCATCCGGATCCGGCTAACCTGTCCACAAAATAAACTGCTAAACTGTAATTGCCTCTGGTTCTATAACTTTGTCGGTCGCGGATAGTGGACGGAGATGGACCTGAGTGCGGAACCCTGGCGAGCTCCGATGTCAAGTTGGGCCTACGTTGGAGACCGGGATGCCGAGTTTGAGGACCTCGAGACAGTTGAGGTGGGCCAGATCTCTGAGTCAATCATCTAAAAACGGTCACAGGAACAATTCGGTGCTGCAAGAATTGTTCTATCGGAAAGAAGAGGAAATTGCCGCAGACTCTCTTTGCCTGATCGCAGCGACGACGCGAGTATTTTGGGATGGATAGGTTATAGCAGGAGCGCCCATCGTCTAATATCCCCGTCATTTCAGAGGGTGACCAGGTTCTGTACTAATTATGCCGAGCTTCTCCACACAAGGCCTGCCCATCCTGGCAAAGCGCGTGTCCGAGACACTCAAGTCAGTAGGAGTGTGGGTGGCTTGGCTCCAAGCCCAAGTACCTAACCTCGACGATCTCGATGTCAAGAGTGTCGTGGCAGCCGAATCTGGGAAGAGAGGAAACACATCAACATTTGCTCGTTGACTCGTTCGCCCGCGTGGCAACATGAGTAGACAGAAAAAGGCGAGAGAAAAGACTCACTTCTTGAGAACCAGCCAAGTCTCGCGGATAATCTCGCCAGCGCGCTCAACGGTTGTCGAGCCGGGATTAACGGCGATGAAAATCGTGTTACGGCCGTAGTTTGGGACAGGACACTCAGGGCCGTTGTCAATGACTGGGCGAAACAGGGCCACCAGGGACCAGCGGTCGGCAGCAAGCAAGGCCCAGATGTATTCGCGCATCGGTTTGCTGTCGCCGACTGGCGTGCTCCAGATGCGGCGAATACTGGAAGTGCAAGGTCGTGAGGAAGATTTGGCTTCTTCAGCGTGGTGGGTGCTGTAATTATTTATATCTTGGTGCGCAAACAGTGAATCCAAGAGCCAGTAGCCGAGTCTAGTGAATTAAGCTCAAGCTCAGGCAGGTAAAGTGAATACAGACGTAGCCAGTGCGTATATCCAGGCGCTTACTGATTAATTACCTATGTCAAGATAGATACCGAAACTTAAGCACACCAACATCCTGTTCCATAATTACATCTTCGCCAACCACCTCCCCCCATCTCGCACCGTCCGCGCGACCTTGGCACAACACACCAGCGCCGCCCCCAGCAGCAGCAGACAAGCGCCGTATGCCTGAGCACCTCGATATGTCCCGCCCGCCCGAGTGATGATAGCCCCCGCAACCGGCGGGCCGACCAGCACAGAGAGGCTAGACACAGCCATGGCCATTCCGATGCGGGCACCCGTGTTGCGCACGTCCCGACGGCCGACCGACATGGCGCCGGCGGGGAACAGGGCCAGCAGGGCGCTGCCGGCGAGGGCGTAGACGGTCGTCCACGCGTAGACGCCCGCCGGGTTGTGGACTCCCATCCAGCCCAGGTTGCAGATGCCGCTGGCGAGGATGGCCGGGATCATGACGTTGATGGGCCCGATGGCGTCGGCTAGGCGGGAGGGAATGAGGCGGCCGAAGACGCTGACGCCGTTGAAGATGAGGAGGAGGTTTAGTGAGTCCGGATATGATAGGGGAGGGGTGATTTGCGACCGACTGAATTGTGGGAGGTAGTAGAGGGCCACGTAGGTACCGGCAAGGCTCTGCGGTGGGTGTTAACGTTAACTAGGATAAGGGGCGAAGTCTTCTCGGGAAGTCATCACTTACAAACAGCAGACCTACCGCGTACAAGAGAAAGTCCAGCTCCTTCAATGTGGCCCAGTCGATTAGCGGCCCAGAGGTCTTCGTCTGGATCCGCGGCCGGGCAACGATATTGACCATGATCGTCGTCGCAAGTTGCAGGAATGCCATGGATCGCAAGGCCCAGCCAAACCCGATTGCAGGAAGCAGCTGTCGCGCCATGGCGGGATAGATCAAACCGCCTGTAACATTGCCGCAGGTGACGATGCCGACGGCCAAAGCCCTCCGCTTGGAAAAGTATGTTGACGTAACAGACAGCATGGGGCAGCAGAGAAATCCAGCCGCCGTGCCGATGACGATGCCCTGAGCAAGCATCAACTGCCAGTATTGGGTGCAAAACGATGTTGCGAAGGCACCTAGCGCCTGGAGGGCAGTCCCTATGCCAATTGTCAAGCGGAAATACCCTGCATCACTGAGGCGCCCGGAGAAGACTCCCAGGAAGTTGGCAAGGAAGATCTGCAACGAGCCAATCCACGAGATCTGCGACGGGGGGATCTCGAGAAAGTCGGTATAGTATGCCTGGAAGATGCCAAACGAGTTTATCACCCCCCACGTATTTGCAATGACGATGTGGGCACATATACCTGGTGTCGTGCAACCCTTGTTATTAACAGCGTGAAGTGCCGGCTCGGGGCGCGGCGGGTTGAGACGAGGTTGACTCACACGTTGACCAGGCCCTGAAACCGCCGTCTGGTGGTGGGAGAGACTGTTGACTCGCCCCTGTCAATTGCCTACTAATCACGCCGTCGCCAGTTGCATCGGGTTCAAGTTCAGACAAGGGTTGCCCCAAATCCCCGTGTTCTACATGAGTATCCTGGTTGGGTGCAGCATGCTTCTCATCGATTGTGTTGCCGCCAGTGCGATGGTCCAGGGCCGGGTGTCCGTCTTCGTGACCTGGGGCGCCTGCATCGTTGCTCTTTTCGCGAGGTGCCATGATATTGAACATGGCATAGCGTGGATATGAAAAAATGAGCCTCGCTGGCAGAGAAAGCCTTCTGAAATTCAGTGCTTGAGACTCCTCGTGTATATAGGCGTCTTGGCGGGACCGGAGAATGTTTTCCATGACTCACAGCAACCCCAGTCCCTAGCTTACGCCCGTTAAAGCCGCGAATAAGATTCATCGCAAAGTTTCCTGCCTTGTAATTACACCTCTCATAATTACCAGGTAGGTTCAGTATTGTTGATCACGCTCGAATCTCAAATTTTTGTATCTGGGTCTAGGTTTGTCTGATCATAATTAATCCTCTGCAAAATTAGCTTCAGCTTTCTCGGCACGTCTCAGGTCTAGACCTCCCGGCTTTGCCTGCCGAACTGGTGGATTGGTTACGTTATCCACCGGGAGGACTCGGACCAGCGCCACATTTCGGAAAGGAGAGCCAAGTGATTTCCCTACAGGGGCTGCTTTGCATTCGAGTACTTCAGAGCCTGGATTTCTTCAGTCTGATCTCTCTCCTCAGCCCGGTCTCTCTCCCTCCTATTGTTCCCTCTGCATCATTACCCGCCCTCCAATGTAGGAATAACTATCAAATTGCCCCTTATTATGTAATTCCGTCCAGACCTCCGCCATGTCTCCCAAGCCCACCCTCGTCTTCGTGCCCGTCGCATGGCACAGCAGTACAGAGATGCATCGCCGTAGAACTCCCAACAACACAGTCAAACCGCGCCGCAAACTTCTCCAATGACGTTAGGGCCGTCCACCAGGCCATCGAATCGGAGACCACCTAGGGCCGAGACGTCGTGGTCGTGGTCCATTCCTACGGCGGCGCCGTTGGTCTCAGCGGCATCAGGGGCCTAACCCGGCCCAAGGGGCCACCCGAGGCCTCCTCCTCGGGCCACGTCATTGGTATCGTCGTCATGGCCACCGGCTTTATGCCTACCGGGGTCGGCTTCCTCGAAGGCTTTGGCGGCAAGCCGCCGCCGATCTGGAAGTTGGATGAGGAGAGAGGCTTGGCTGTCATCACGGTCGATCAGAGGGAGCTGCTGTACCACGACCTCCCAAAGGAGGAGGGCGATGACTGGGGCTCGAAGCCGGGAGACCAGTCTCTGCAAGCATTTACGGATGGCACCAATGCCTATGCTGTTGGCTGGATGTACCGGTCCGGTATTTGGCGACCTTGGAGGACAAGGCGTTGCCAGTTGAGACGCAGAGGGTCCTTGTTTAGATGGCTAAAGATGCTGGAGCAGATGTGACGGTGCGAGGGATTGATAGTAGTCACTCGCCCATGTTGAGCAATGGAGTAGCTAAGCCAGCCAAGCTACATCTGTAACATAGGCAGTTATACATATCTTCACTCTAACTAAATGGAAATTACAGGGGTAAAGGGGGGCGGCCTGTGCGCGGTCATTACAACAAAGTACTGCACCTCGCAGATGGGACTGACTGTATTCTCCTCTTTTTTTGAGGCGGCCTCGTCTTGATGACGCCTTGGGCCTCGGCTCTCTCGACTAGCCTCCTCAGCGGCGGTGAGAGCGACTTGTTCCAATCCTGCAAGCGTGAAGCTGCAGTTGATGATCTAGACGCCCTCGCCGACGGCGTTGACCATGATGGCCGTCTCAGCGCGATATTTTTCGACAATGGAGAAATAACCTCATAGGATCTTCCCTGGCGTCTGGTCAAACAGGATATGAACACGTGTGGCGTCTCTCTCTCGCTGCTTCAATGGGTTAAGGATGCCAAGCAGACCCAGAGAAGCATGCCTTTGGCATTTTCCTTGAGTATGTCACCGAAGTTGAATAATATAACCGTTTTTCCATAGGTCCTCCGGCTCCTACTTGGAGAGCTAGACTGTCTGGCTGATAGTAAAGCGCTGGAAGTCTATATGTGACATCTTAGACTTAATGCGGAGCTGCTGACTGAAGCAGGCAAAGCCCCATTAGATCTACTATTTTTCCTATGCAGAGATGAGTCACAGCATGGTAGCTAGACCTGTTAAGCAACTTGTTGCCATTGCTAGCTTAACAAGCTTTGAGTCAGATTAGGCAGTTGAGGCGATTGTCGCACTCGTGGACCATTACAAGTCCCAAAGGTGGCTACACGGTTGTCGCGTTGTCAGGTTGTCATCTTGCGCGCCCTGACATGAATAAATAATCTCAAAGCCGGCATCATATCGTATGGTTTGAAGGGTATAACATTACCATCATCGAGGTAGGCGGCGTCTCCCACGAAGGCCTTGGAAACCCCATAGATTTCTGGAAAACAAGACACTTGACTATGGCGAGAGTTTGGCCGCCCTAATGTACACTCCTCTTCAAAACAGTTCCCGTTCAGTGCTCTAGCTCTGTATGAGCAGCAAGGCGGTTAAATAACTCAAACTCCATGCGGTCAGCAGCCCTAAACCCCTCTCTAATGTGCGTCAACATATCCAATCCCTCAGGGAAGTCATGCCCAAAGACAGGCTCGCCAGTTTCTCGCATATTCGCAAGGACAGACTGGCGGAAGAGCCACCGGGCAAGCTTAGGAGCTGGCCTCCGCTCATCGTCTAGGAGTCGGGAGTCCAGACAGGTACCAGAAACAGAGGGTGAGTCTGTTAGAAGGAGGACAATCTTGTAGTTATCCCAGTATTGTTAGCCAAAGAGGTATAAAATAAAGACAAGAACAGGGTACAAACTTACGTCAGGGTTGATGGAAAATACGTTGTGATCAAAAGCTGTGCGTAAGCCGCTGTCAAGCAGTAGGCCGTTCTGAACCGAGTTGATAGACCCTCTACTGTCTGGCAAAATAGTGATCCATCAGCCAAGGAAATTTCTCCAGGGGCATGTGCTATATGCTCTGCGGGCAGGCGGTTTGTGTATTACAGGTGGCAGTTGCCTATTGCTGTTGCCTATTGCTGTCGCTGGCTATTCCTATAGCTGTTTCTGTCTATGGCTCTTACCGTCATCACTCTTGCGGTTACTATCTATCCCTCTTGCTATCTATCGCTCTTGCTGTTGCTGGAAATAGAAAAGATGACAGCGATGCAGCTGTTGAACTTGCCACCTGCCCGTAGAGCAAATGGCGCATACCTGCAGAGAAATTCCCTCGGCCAAATTGGTGATAAGGAAAATATGTGCAGCCTCAAAGCTAAATCATATATCAATATCAGCTAAGAGATTCTCTCTCTTCGACACGGCACAGCGGCGATCTCGTTGTCGTACGTCATTCCTAAAGCACTCGACCCAGGATCCTCCACTAAGGGATTCGATGTGGGCGATGGCGTTCTTGTTGTTGACTTCAATAGTCCATCGGCGGCGACAAGCTGTGGTGCAGCATTTCCTGGGAGGCCGGGGTGCCATATTTGCCATACTTCTCGAGAGGGTGCTCGAGAGGGTGTTTGACATCGTTGTGTACCTATGGCTTTGTCTTCCTGGCCGGCCCAAGGCACTGTATCTGACCAGTCGGGCGTCCACGAGGAGAGCCTAGCTCAATTTGGCCAGTTCCGAAAAGAAGTCTTAATTAATCAGGAAAGCAGCTCAAGGAAGGTCTTTGTTACGAGAGGGTGTACTTATCAAGAATGCAGCTCTTGTGGTATCTTGAAGACGGCAGTACTTTACCAACCATTGGGCGGAATCTTGTTGCAGGGGCTGTGTCGAGCAGGAGAGCTGGCGGCTCTTTTGTGGATTTTGTTGGGAACGCTGTACCGGGCCAAATCGGAGTTTATTGTGACACTGGTTGCGAATGCGGAGGTGAGCATGCGCCATAGCCGTCGGCATTGCATCATGTCTGTGTGACCAATCCGAATGGCAATATCCAAACCTCCGCCAACTTTGAATCACGTCACGAAAGAAACTTCTCTCGCATTTGTCAGCTAATTAAAGCAGCTGGAGACACTTTAGCTGCTTTTGCAAACTTCGACCATATCCAAACTCAATTGTACAACACAGCACCATCAACCCAGACCCATTGACTCTCCAAACACCGCCAAGACCAACACTATGGCTCACGTGGGTGATCTAGAGAGTCAAACAAACCACCATGAGGAAACACCTCTGCTTAACGAAGAGCAATTGGATCAACATCAAGTCGATCAAAAGCAGCCCCAGAAGAGGCGGCGTAGCTGGTACCTCTGGAGAATATTCTGGGCTGTCGTTGCCATTGTCATCTTAACTGTCTTTATCAAGGGCTGGATTGACGCAGGCAGCGATGTTGATGTTGGTGCTATGATGAATTATTCGATTTATGTCTAGCTAACGTTTTGTCCTGGATCATAGTTTGATCTAAAAGATGCACTCGAGAGAGCAATTGGCGGTGGCCTAAGCGGTGCTGCAGCCATGGTTCTACAAGTCGTGCTTCTGATGGTATTGACTCACCCTCTCTTATCATCTCTTCCAACTACAACTAAACACCCATAATCTTAGCCACTTCGAACGGTTATGAACTATCAATACCGTTTTGGGACCTCCTTCACCAGCGCAACTCAGACACTCTACAACGACGGAGGATGCCGCCGCTACTATCAAGGCATCGCAGCTGCACTTGTCCAAGGTACGTGGTTGCCCTTCTTTTTCCAATTCCCAGTCTTACGACATCTGGGTTGATGAACTCAACATTTGAGCTGCATAGGACCTGCGGCGAGATTTGGAGACACGGCGGCAAACGCCGGAATCCTTGCATTATTACAATCAAATTCATATTTGAAACAACTTCCATTGCTTGTGAAAACGGTTTTCGCCTCTCTTTGGTATGAACCCATTTGCCCTATCAATGTCACTCGCATGCTGATATGTCGATGTCAAGCGCTGCTGGTTTCCGAATGATCCTCACTCCCATTGATACCCTGAAGACTACCCTCCAGGCGCAAGGCGCCAGTGGGACTTCCTTGCTTCGCCAACGCGTCAAGAGGCACGGCGTAACAAGTCTGTGGTGGGGGGCATTCGCCACTGCAGGTGCAACATTCGTCGGACACTATCCCTGGTTTGCTACGGTAAGCTCGGCTCCTTAATCTCATACACAAACTATTAATCTGCTCACATTGCCAAAGTACAATTCGTTGAGCGAAGCTATCGAAGAGCCACCAAAGGATGAGCTATTCCTATGGTTGCTGCGCTTAGCCTTCATCGGATTTGTCGCGTCCATCGTTTCTGACTCCATATCCAACTCTTTAAGGGTGGTGAAGACCTACCGCCAGGTTAATGACACCAAAGTCTCATATGGTAAGAGCTTGCCTTTTTTACAAAGGCCTTCTTACTAAATGTATCTAGCCGAGGCCGTAAGGCTGGTGGTTCGGGATGACGGGATATCTGGACTTTTTGGGCGAGGACTTTCAACTCGTATCTTATGTAACGGTCTCCAGGGACTGCTATTTTCCATCTTGTGGAAGCTATTCCTCGACTTGTGAGTTAATCTACACACCTCAAGGCGTGGAATTTCGGCCGATCTAACCCATTCCTTAGCTGGGAGCAGAAAACAAGCACCTAACAGAAATCGCAAGCGAGTTCATGTGGCAAGTCAATGGGTTTATTGCTTGGATCCTTTCTAGGTTTCGTGAGATTATGGGATTATGCCGACTTGTGATATTAGGTAGGCATTTCCATGTCTACTGCTTTCTCCGGGAGACTAATTAGTGCTGCGTCTCCGCTTCCTCTTTTGCTTCTGCTCCTTCTCCCTGGGATTAACTACCCTGACAGAGGAGTGGCACTCTGATCTGTTGTACTCAGAGGTAGAAGAAGACCTTCCTTGAGACATTCAAATAGCCAGGCACGGACAAGCCACATCGCTCCAATCCTGCCAAAGCTGAAAAGGGGTTAAAATTAACCAGCTTTCCCCTCGTAGCCTGATCTTCAAGGTAGCTACTGCAAGTGTTTGCGCGCTTTGATCAATCTCCTGATCGTATTCATCATGGTCATGTGTAACACCAGGATGTCGGTGGTCGCGGTTCTTGAATCCAAGACGGTGATGGCGGCGGCTGCTTCCCCAGTCTAGCTTACTGGCAATATCCTCGGCAGACGATCCCGGTGTCCTTTCACACTAACTGTCCGTATATGATGTGACTTTTTGAATATCTCGAAAAAGCTTACTGTAACGAGTGTACCGTGGACGGGCTTCTGTTAGCTAGCGAGAGGCGGCATCCTTATTTTCCGACTACTGTAGCCGTTATTCTGCGGAGTCTGTCAGGCACGGACCATCATGACGTCAGGGTGATGAGGTGCATGTGCTGCACTTCGGAAATTCTTATTACCGTCACCACGTGATACCTGGACGTTGAACGGATCACGGGACTACTTGGTTAGGGTGGGAAAGGTATTACCCGTGGGATGGGACTGTCCAATCACATTCTGGTAAATTCAAATCTTGCAGGTCTCCCCGCATTCGAATGCCAGATTAAACCCGCTTACCCATCGGATAAGGACACGTGCCGAATGGCTTTGCCAGCCGAGTCTCCGCATTCGCGACCGAACAAGGGTCCCCGCACCAAGTCGAGTCTGGAAAGGGGAACAATGATAATCCCCAGGCAAAAACGAGAGATGCAAGCACTTTCCAAGCGGTAAATTCCTTGATTTGCCTTCATCGTCAAAATTATGTGCAGACTTAACGGAAGCATGGATATGTGATTTTCCCACAGCTCTAGATGAACAGAGCAGAGTTCCCCAAGTCTGGGTGCAGATGTGGAGTCGGCTGGTAAGACGGCATGTGGGAACCCACAACACCCTAACCATGGCTTTATGTTTCTCCAATTGCTCCAGATAACTAGCGTAAAGTTCCGCCCAATGGTGAAAAAAGTACCGAACTTTGCTGCGGGAACATACGACTCATGACTTCATGCGTAGGTAGTTATTCCTAGTTCCGGTAGTCCCAGCGCCTACAATCAATACTTAAACTCGGGGCCTCCTCTTTTGCTCCGTTTACTCGTTTTCAAGAAGGAAGCACGAAAACAGCCATCTTCCTTCCCACGCCAAATAAAACCAATACCGTCATCATGGCTACCAACGGCGCCAACAGCACCAATGGTGCAAAGGACAACTCCAGCAAATTCGACCCCAACTTCACACAACATGTCATTGACCTTATGAGCCCCGAGACAAAACCCAGACACCGAGAAGTCCTCTCGTCTTTGATTAAGCATTTGCACGACTTTTGCCGAGAGGTCGAGCTCACGCAAGAGGAATGGATTATCGGTGTCAACTACGTCAACGCTATCGGCCAAGCCTACAGGAAGAACCGAAATGAAGCGTGGAGGGTGTGCGATATCCTGGGTGTCGAATCGTGAGTAAATATCCTTTTCTTGCGTCATTTTAGCGACGATGACCACCGTTTTTGGCGGGGCGCAACAAAATCATTCCCGTCAAAGAGGATTCAACCAATGGCTGACAACCCCTGTCCAGTCTCGTCGACGAGATCAACCACACGGTCGTGACCGAGAAAGACCTCTCTCCCACATCCTCGGCCATCCTCGGGCCTTTCTGGTCCCCCGATACCCCGTTCCGGGACCTCGGCAGCAGCGTTGTCCAGGACATGCCAAAAGATGGGCAGTTCACATTCTTCCATGGTGTCATCAAGGACGCCGAGACCGGCAAAGGTATCCCGGACGCCGTCTTCGACATGTGGCAGGCCAGCACCAACGGCAAGTACGACACCTTCGACCCCGAGAACCAATCCCGCCACAACCTGCGGGGCAAGTTCCGCACCGACGAGAACGGCAAGTTCTGGTTCTACTGCCTGAAGCCGACCGAGTACGCCATCGACACCACTGGCCCCTCGGCGGATCTGCTCAAGATCATGGGCCGCCACCCCTACCGCCCCGCCCACATCCACATGATGGTCACCCATCCCGAATACATCGGCGTGACCGCTCAGCTATACCCGAATGACGACCCATACCTTGAGACCGACACCGTCTCTGCTGTCAAGGACGACCTGCTCTTGGACTTCAAGCCCATCCAAAACGATCCCAAGGGCGCCACCCTCGAGGTCGAGTACGACGTTCGCCTGCTCTCGAAAAAGTTCAAGCCAGATTCCACGATGTTGATGCAGAACGCAAACCAGGACAAGTTTTGATTTTTTTTTAAGATTAGCTAGTTTGATATTTCGCGGGGCATATTCCGATTTTGTTTGTACATATACAGGGTTGCAAATTAGTCTTGGTTAATCCAGTCTATACTGTACAATGACTCCCTTTTCCCTTGAGAGATGTATCGTCCGTTCCGATTATTGTGATTTTCTAGAGATGTCTCGAGATAACTCGACAATGGCACAACAGCGGGGATGCTCGTCCTGGTCCTTTTGACACTCCCTTGGTCACTAAAACAAGCCTTGTCACTTTCTCTTGAGCCTATAAATGGCTGAAACAACAGCATCTGCGGTGATAGGCATCGTATGGCTTGTTTCGGGAAAATTCTCTCCAAACGTGGGAAAGCTGTCTACCATGCCAAGGAGGTGAATGTCAAGCGCTGGACCAAAGTATATTAGGCGACATACTTCCCCAAAGGCTCTTTGCGAAGAAGGGTCTGATGTATCGAAGAGCGTGATTGCGAGACCCCTAGCAGATGTGTAATAATATTGCACACGGACAAGAAGGGTAGAGAAAAAGCGAAACCTAATTGTCAAGAAAGTATTCCCAAATGAACAAGACGTAGGGTAGGGTAATTACGCCTTGCAGCAGCTTACATCCTGTCGCTTGTATCTCAACCATTGGGATACAGATTGGGAGTGCATATGGGATAACAACTTCAAGCAATATTAGTTTAGCGTCGTCTTACCAGGTGGGACAATAGTAACGAGGATGCCTAGACTACAGCGCAGTGTGGAACACAGTAGGAAACGAGATGATAATTACTGCTTAATCTAGCGACTCGAACAATCTAGGATCTCCTCCTGAGAAACCAAAGAAGCGGACCCACTGCGTGGCCGATCCAAGCCCAGGACGGCCACCTTGGTCGCCATCACGGAGCGCCCAGCTTCATTCACCTCATAGGCGTTCGGTTTCTTTTCAAGCACATCTTTGCCATTTACTCCACCCAATGTTGCGGGTCTCTCATCCTTCAGAGACGTTCCCTTCATCTTCACCATGGGGGCGATCCACATGGCTGTCCCTTTCTTTATCCTCGGGTTGCGCTGCGGCAGCGTCATCGCTCTTGTCGTCCTGCGCGGTAGGTGTTTCCACTACTAATGTTTCCACTTTCTCGTCGTTGTTAGGTTCGTCCCCCGCACCGCCAACGCCATCAACGCGTTCCAGACAGTCGTTCCCCTCTTCGTCCCCAGGCTGCACTCCGGTAGCGTCGTCGGCGTTGCTGTCCTGTCCAGCCGCCGGTCCCAATGGCGGCGTTTCTCCGCCTCCAAGAAGAACCTCTACAATCACGTCGTGCCCTTTGCTCCTTGCGTAGTCGCGGCTAACTTATCTTCCTTGTCTCGAAGTTCCAGCCGCGCCCCAAGGGAGCATAGAACCTTGACCGCATCGACGTTCCCGGCTTCTGCTAGGTAAGACAAGGCGGTCCGACCGCAATCATCTGCCGCGTCCAGGCTTACCACCTTTCCCCATGCCCGCGGCTCGGTAATCCGCGCTAGCACCTCGGTGATGATGGGAACTTTCTCCTCCTCGGCATCTAGATTTGATATCGCCATGAATATGGCCGTCATGTCGTGGCCTTGCTGCGCCGCGCGAATGAGCGGCGTTCTGTCGTCATGGTCCGGGATATTGGAGTCCACCTTGTCCTGTGCCATGAGAGCCCGCACGACGTCAAGATACCCCCCGGCAGCTGCATAGGAGAGCGCGGTGCGGCCGCTTCCATCCCGGCTGTTCACATCCACCTCCGGCTTGCTGGCATCCACGTTCCGCGCGAGGAGCGTTTTAACGGCTGACAATCTCCCAGCCTCGCAGGCGTACGAGAGCGGTGTCCGGCTGATGCTGTCGCCGTCGTCGGCGGCCGCGTCCCTGAGGAGAAGCCGGACAATCTCGCTGTGTCCGCGCTGGGCTGCGAAATGGAGCGGTGTCATGGCCAGCGTGGGGCTGCTGCCTCGCGCTGCCGGCCGGTCCGCCGGCTCGAAGTGCAGGAGTTTCTGCACCACGTCGAGGTTACCATCCCTGGCGGCCAGCTGTAGCGACGTGTGTCCCTCGCTGTTGGTCGCCTTCGCGCTCACCCCCTTCTCTGCCAGAAGGGTCACGATACCATCGTTGCCGTTCTCGGTGGCGCAGAAGAGCGAAGTCCGTCCGGCGTTGTTGAGTTGGTTGGCATCGGCGCCCTCGAGGAGGAGGTAGCGCACTGTGTCTAAGTGGCCGCCACAGGCGGCGTAGTGCAGCGGCGTCATCCCCTTGGCGTCCTGTTGGGTCAATTCCGTGTCTTGCTAGCGGAGGATGCGGACGATGTCGGTGAACCCCCGCCTGGCGGCCTCGAGGCAGGCTCGGTCGAGGTCCGGACCGTGACTGGGCTCGGAGCGATTCTCGGCCACCTGAGGCAAGGCGGTCACCATGATAGTGTGACCTCCAGACGCTGCCGCTGCCATGGCGCTGTTGATCTGTTCCGTCGACCAGTTGGCGGCGTATAGGACCACGCTGCCGAATACGACGTTCCTCTCGCACGCGCAGTCCAGGATCGTCCGGCCACGGCCGTCCAGCAGTTGTGGCAGCAAGTTACTGTCGTTGGAGCCATCCTCCGTGTCTCGATCGCTCCCCCAGTGGGAGGACAAGCTCACGTCGAACAGGGTTTCGTAGATCACTAGGAACCCCTGTTCGGGCCAGCTAGAGGCAACATAGTGGAGGGTTGTGGTCCCATCCTTATCGGATGTGGCCATCTCGTCTCGGCTGGAGGAGATAATGGCCATGAGGCGGGTAGGGTCGCCCTCGGAATTCGACCAAGGGAATTCTCGTACGGGGTCGTGGGTGAACATGCCGTCATCGTCCTCCCCGTCCTTGCTGTCGTCTTCATTGTTGTCCTCCTCCTCCTTGTCGTCGTCTTCTTCCTCCCTGTTGTCGTCGTCAGGCATCGTCTTCGCTACGGAGATTGCATCGGATGATGTTGTGGCTACCTCGCGACCCGTCAAGAGAATTGCGATCTCGGTGTTTGAGGCTCTCTCGATGATGGAATGCCTCGTAAACTGACCGGGAGACAGCAAAGAAAGGTGCAGGAGAGTGCGATCCCAGCTATCCTTGGGAACCTTCCAGTCGTTCGGGTCGGGCCACTTCTCGAACGCGGCCGTAAGGTTGAAGTAGGCGCCAAAGTGCGCGCCGCCAAACCCAGCGGGGTAGTGGTTGTACTGCCATTTGCCTGCTGGAGAATTAATGTGGAGAAGCTGGCTCAGAGTCGCCATTAGAGTCTGGTCATCCAGCAGCTTTGCTGCCAATTCCTTGATCTCGTCTGCTACCGAGGTATTGATGTGCGTCCCCCAGTATTGGGAGACATAGCGAGAGAACGGAAGCAATGCTTCCATCTCGTCATACTCCTGCTGAGACTTGAAGGGCCTATGCAAGAGAATGTCGCATTGGAGGATGTCTATGCAGCCTTTGGCTACGCTATCCTCGGCATTTGTCAAAGGACTTGACGAAGTGATGAAGATAGAACAGCAGGTGATGCGTGGGGCTCGGTGGGGTAAAAGGATGGTTTCTATTGGCTGTAAATAGACAGTGAGGGCAGGGGCCCAAAGTGGCCCCGGTGGCCCATGACCTAGCCTATACGCCAGCGCAGGTCAGTCAAAGCCTACACGCCCTCTGCATAGAAACCACCAAATATCACCACCACTTTTACTTCATACAATATCACTAGATTGCTATTAAAGTAGCCCCCTGCCAACGCGCTATAAATTAGTAGCATAGATATACTTGTCAAAGTTATAATACAAACCAAACCTACCAAAAACCTCAATTTTCGCTAATTCCAGCAATACCAAAATCACTCTAAAAGCTCGCAAATAGCATCAGCTACATGCAAGCCCTTAACACATTAATCAAACCAATCTACACGTAAAGCACTATTTACTTGCCTGCTTTAACTAAACCTGTCAAGTATTTAAGCCTAACCTGTCAAGTATTTAAGCCTCTTCCTACTAACATTTAAATACTTGCTTAATGAGGAGGAGAGACACAAAACCACCTACCTACCTACCTCTCAACGTAGTATACTGCTGCTGAGGCGTAGGCTCCAACGGCAGTAGCCACGTGATTGGCTGGCAGGCGGATGGAATCGTGCTTCTTCCTTACCTCTGGCGCACGTGACTGGTCAGGTGACCCTGATCAGCCCCGATACGTCTCGCGGTAGTGCCTAAATCCAGTCGTGTAAGTAAGGCAGGAAAACGCCGGCGGCGTGATCAATTGAATTGAAGGCGTAAGGAAGGAATGGAATGCAGTAAATCAAGTATTATTGCGTAGAAAGCCTCGAAATAACTAAGGTGTAAAGAGTGCTGCTTGTAAATCCGTGTAAGTCTGCGTAATTGATCCTGATCTTACAATTTGAAGCTCTAATCGCGCTTTTATATAGAAGCGCAGAAAATCCAGTCTAAAGCTGACTCATCCTAACCCCAAATACGGCGACGAGCACAGGCTGTGCTTGTAGAAAACGTCATGTAATTTGAAATGGCGCTAGTGAAGACAGGGGGCAGAGCTTGTAGAGAAACAGAAGGCAGAGCTTGTAGACATTTTCAGCAGTAAAATTGACAAAATCGGTATGCGCATAAAGCTTAAATGCAGGCGAAATCTTTGGTGCCATTTTCAAGTTAGTAAAATGCTTGTAGGTGGGAAAAGCTGTAGGTTTTGTTTGTTAGCATCACCTAAGCTAGTGTAGCGTTATAGAAGCTAACAATGCATTGGCTTGTTGTCTAGGGTGAATAGAGGCAAATGGTGGTGTAAGTTGTAACCATTTAGTAGTTAGCCAAGACATGCATTTAAACCACTATAGAGCTGTTTGTTTGTTTGCCTAAATACCTATTTCTAATATGCAAGTGTGGAATTAGATGCGTGGTAGGCAAGGTTGTTGGTTATTTGCAAGCAAAGCATAAGTCTATCAAGCCTAGCAAACAGTTAAGGATTGCAGAATTGATAAGCCAAATCCTAGACATTACAAGAACCTAGGATAAGTTGAAAGAGTTTGAGTTCCTGCCACCTACTATCCCACCCATCTTGTTTATTAAGCTACTAGTTATTAGTTTAAGGTGCAACCAATGCAACTTTGTCAGCATAGAGGTAAGAAAAATGCAGCGATATTGCTAGAATAATTACAGATAGGCAAATAATTAGAGTAAAGGCAGTAATGTAGTGAAAAAAGCAAAGCAAAAGCAGGTTATGCTGTAAACAATAGGCATGCATTATCAGCAATTTTTCTAGTCAAGCTTTAGAAGCAGTTAGTTTAAGGTTAGCTAGGGTAGCAAGCTAGTAGTAGTAGCAAAGGTAAGTGCAGAAACATTAGAAAAGCAGCTGACACAAATCTATGCAACCTAGACAGCACAGTTTAAGTTAAAAAGGTAGTTGATTAAGGCAAGCGACAAGAAAGCCAAGCTAAATAGGTAGTTAGACTATATTAGTTAGCTAATGCATTTGAAGGGTTTAGACTTAGCCTACCTTCAAATACAGCTAAGCTATGTAATAGCTATCTAAAGAAAACGCTATACAAATTGCAGACCTATAATTAAAGACAGGAGGTAGCTGCTGTAGAGAAAAGGAGAGTAGCTACCAAAGACTTTTTCTTAGCCAAAATAAACAAAAGTAGTATGCTTTTAATTAGCAAATTGAGAAAAATCTAGCTATAAAACTTTTAGTTTCCTAAGCAGCAAGTGCAAAGAGGTAAAGCTATGTTAGAATTGTAAGTGTTAGGGTTAGGATAGGTTAGAGCAAGATTGCAACAGACTAGGGTTAAAGACTAACGACTAGTCAAAGCAGCTATTTGATGCAAGGGTAGCATAATAGAAGTAAACAAAAAAGTAGAAAAAGGTTGAGATTGCAAGGTTAAGTAGAATAGTTTAAAGCATTAAGATATTGTTAGGTTAGCAAGAAATTATAAAGCTATTTAACTGCTTGCCTACCCTCAAATATAGCTAAGCTGTGTAGTAGCTATCTAAAGAAAACGCTATACAAATTGCAAACCTACAATTAAAGACAGAGGGTAGCTGCTGTAAAGAAAAGGAAAGTAGCTGCTAAAGACTTTTTCTTAGCCAAAATAAACAAAAGTAGTATGCTTTTAATTAGCAAATTGAGAAAAATCTAGCTATGAAACTTTTAGTTTCTTAAGCAGCAAGTGCAAAGAGGTAAAGCTATGTTAGAATTGTAAGCGTTAAGGTTAGGATAGGTTAGAGCAAGATTGCAACAGACTAAGGTTAAAGACTAACGACTAGTCAAAGCAGCTATTTGGTGCAAAGGTAGCATAATAGAAGTAAACAAAAAAGTAGAAAGGGGTTGAGATTGCAAGGTTAAGTAGAATAGTTTAAAGCATTAAGATATTATTAGGTTAGCAAGAAATTATAGAGCTATTTGACTGCTTGCTTAAATACCTATTTGTTATTTGCATAAAATGCAAGGTTAGATATTATGCAGGTAAGGCTAGAACCTATTTGCATAGAAAGCATAATTATATAAATGCAAGGCAGTAAGCAAAAGTTGTAAAGGCAGTAAAGAGATTGGAAAGTATTATGCAGAACTAGGATAAGTTGCAGACATTTTAATTCCTGCCACTAACAGTTAACTTAATCCTATTTATTGCGCTGCCTAAGTTTAACAGATTGCAATGCAACAAGTATAGGTTTGTTACGCAAGGCAAATAGTAGATGAGAGATTATTGTAAGAAAAAGCATAGATAGAAGAGTGGATAGGTTAAAGGCAGCAACATGGTAAAAAAGGCAAAATAGAAGTAGGCAGTGCTGTAAATAATAAGCATGCATTGCCAGTGGTTTTTCTAGTTGCATATGGCAAGCAAGTAGTTTAAGGTTAGCTAAGGCAGCAAGCTAGCAATAGTAGCAAAGGTAAGTGCAGAGACATTAAAAAAGTAGCTAATATAAATCTATGCAACCTAGACAGTGCAGTTTAAGTCAAAGAGGCAGTTGATTAAAGCAAGCAACAAAAAGGCTAAGCCAAATAAGTAGTTAAACTGCGTTAGTTAGCTAATGCATTTGAAAGGTTTAGACTTAACCTAGTTGCGCAGCATAGTTAAGCCAATTAGCAAAAACAAGGTGGTATTGCAGTAGATGTAAGAAAGCATAGAGCAGGTGATAGAGTAGGCAAGAGAGGCAGTAGTAAAGCAGCGCAAGCATGCAATGTTGTTTGAGATTAACAAAAAGAAGGTATATGTCAAGCAGAAAAAGCCATTTGATAGGCAGATAGAGAAGGATATATAGGTAGATTATAAAGAAGTATACTGCAAATTGTTATATTACATGCAGCAGATATAGGAATAGGATAATAGAAACTAGCTGCTATATGCATTTACTAAAAAGCAAGGTAATTTGTTTGACAAGTTTTGCAAGGTAGTAGAGGAGTGTGTGTAGGTAGAGAGCATAATGCTGTTAGATAAGGTAAAGCAGCAAAGGCATAAAGACTAGGCAGACTAGTTGTGTTTAGATATAACAGTTGCATTTTTCAACTATTAATACAAGCATATGCTATATAAAAATGCATTGATTAGCAGGTTGGCAGTGTTAAGATTATGCAATGACAATAGTTAGTATAGGCTAAAGGATTACATGCTAAAGTATTTAGCAGTTATCAAAATAGCGCAGATATTAGTTATATATTAGTTAGTAGTTAAGTAGTAGGATAAGGTAGCAGCGTTAGAGAAGACAATAAGTGCAAAGGAGATGCAAAAGGCAGCAACTAGGTTATTCAAAATCACCTAGCTAAAGGTTAAGTAGTTTATAACAATTATGTTAGACAAGTCTAAGCTAGGCTTAATAAATTAGATATTTGATTTGCACATATATAAAATGCAAGTCTAGTTTACAATGCTAGCAGCAAAGATAGTTGATTAGGTTAGGGATTAGATTATATACTAGCAGATAAAGATTAAGACAAACAATTTGGCAAATATGTTGCATGAGATAGTTAGAGAGGTGAGAGCCAAATTAAACAAGCTATTGATAATAGAAGGTAATGATTTTAGGTTAATGCTAGCAATTAAGTAAAGGCAAATAGAAGATAACTATAGCAAAGACTAGGTTAGATATTTATTTTTGCAAGACAATTACAACAAGTAGTTGGCAAAGAGTTAAGGTTAGGTAGTGTAGCAGATTTTGCAGCAGGCAGATAAGTAGAAAGAGTAGATAGCAGTAGAAGGCAGCAACAAGATGCTATACTAGGCTAAAGCAATGCGCAAGTATAGGTTAGCAGTAGAGTAGTTTTAGGAAAGGTTATTGCAATTAATGCATATGTTAAGGAAAATGCTAGCATAGTTATAAGAGATTATAGAGATATAGCATTGCAATATAGTATATAGCAAAGTGCATAATATATTAATAGACTAAGGCATAGCAAGTTTTATAGTATTATATTACAAGAATTACTATAGTATAGGCAAGGTTAAAGTTATACACTAGTATTTGCTATGCAAGGTAGGCAAGTTGTTAGTGTAGTATTTG